TTGAGATCATGAAGCGATTGATGTTAGATCACAATTGAAAACTTGGAAGCACTGGATAGCCGTCTTGTCCTATCGTGGTACTCCTCATCAGTGCGCATCCACGATCGCACTCGCGGGATTTGAACCCAGGTCCTTCAGTCTCGCTCGCTAACTCTTAACCTACTGGACCACTCAGCCGGCATCCAAAGGTGTTAATATCTAACCTCAACCGATCCACGAAGTTGCGCAACCGTCTTTCATTGTACTGGGTAGACACCTGTTTCTACCCACTGGTCACGGCTTCCTATCAGAACTCCGAGAATTTTCTCACGAAGTTAGTCACTAGTGAGCACATGGTAATTATCAGTAAAGGGGTTGTGGAGATTGTTAAGTTTTGATCGAGATCATGAACCGATTGATGTTAGACCACCATTGAAAACCTGGAAGCACTGGACGGCCGTCTCGTCTTATATTCATAACTTGTGATGAAATGAAACATTTACATTTTCCATAGTTAATTAGACAAACATACCCACTTACACACACACATACATACATACACTTAAACACAGACAATCGTATTCCTCTTCATCATTTTGTTGATGGAAGTAATTTCGAGTCATATAGTTCCAACAAGTGCACTGGATGCATATATATTTACTCTGAAGAAGTGACTTACATTAAGTCACGAAACATCTGAAATACAATTTCTCTACTCATTGACATATAACAAAACATATATTTATTATATACATATATGAGCATAGATATTTTATTTATTCAAGAATCATTATAATTTCACCTTTATTCTTTTGTTCTGCAGTGACTGATTGATTTATGAGGAAACTATAGTAGGATATAATGATAGTTAGTGATAGATAATGATAGTTAGTTTTCAATGATTACGGTTAATAATTGTTTAATTTTTTTTGATGAAAATGAATAATTATTGTTATAGAACGCTTTGTAAGGTTAATAAGTTAGCAACAGATTATAATATGAATGAAATAAGATGACTAAAATTTTTCGCTACACCAAACAAAGGTAACAGATGGGGTTAAATGAAACGAAATGATACTAGAAACGATTATGAATAAAATCATGAGGAGATGAAACATAATTAAAAGGAAAGGGATACACTTTCAAATATGAATAATAATAATAATAATTGAAACCATGGTAACGATAAGGATAAGACATACTTCTTTTGTACGTACATATCTGGCTTCAACTCATGGATGGCAAGAGCTTCTACTGTTTTAAAGAGTTAAGTAGAAAGAAATCTAGGTAGGTTTGGATGAATTGTACAAATGACCTTAAAATTAACCTGTGAATTGGTAAAATGATTACAGTCAATTAGATGTTAAAGTATGGAACTTTCAACTACCTTCCCTTCACCCATTTAGAACGATACTGGGATATGTTTGTGTATCCAAGTTGAAAGCATGAGCTGTCTACATCCCATATGCCTTGCTCCTCATGATTTTATTCATAATTTTTTTCTAATATCACTTCATTTTTAACCACATCTATTACCAATGATTAGCGTAGCAAAAATATTTTAATCACCTTACTTCATTCATAGTACAATCCACTGCTAACTTATTAATTTTACAAGGCACACACACAATATTTTATTATTATTATTCACATTACGTAATTATTATTGCAAACAACCTTTTATGTTATAATTCCATTAATTTATTCAGGAATCAATGGGAGAGACTGTCTAGAAATTGAATACAACAAAATATAATCAGACATCGCAACAGGTTAAGGACATTTACATATTTTTCAGAAATGATTTTATTCAAAACTAAATATATCTGATAATTATAGACAAAGATGGTTGGTGGCTAGCGGTGGAATCCAGGATGCGCGTTTAGTCTTATTTGGGACTCATTATCTGGATTACCTGCATCTCAGAGTTGATGTTCATTCCACGACTCGAACCCAGTAACATTGGCTTCAAATACCATCACGTTATTCACTTAGTTAATGAGTTCTGATAGCCACTTGGTTGTGCAATGGAGTGAAGTTTCAATTCATTTTGTATTGCTTGTTCGAATCCTCCCATTGATGTTTAGGACTGCGATTGATCAGTCTCTTATTGGTATATGTGCATATTGCCTTACTATTGCCTTAAGTCACAAGCTTTATAAGTAAAGGTGGATGATGGCTAGCAGTAGAATCCAGGACGGTAAGTGGATAAAGCGATGACATTTGAAGTGAACGGTACTGGGTTCGAGTCGTGGAGTAAACATCTTCCCTGAGATGCACGTACATTCAACTGACTATTCTCAAACAGGATGAAACGCTCATCCTGGATTCGCTTTTAGCAACTATCCATCTTTGTTCATAATGCTTGTGAATTAGGCAATATCGAGACAATCCACACAGTATACACATATGTCAATAAGAGAGAGACTGATCAATTGCTGTCCTAAACATCAATGGGAGGATACGAACAAGCAATACAAAATGAATTGAACTTCACTCCATTGCACAACCTAAGTGGCTATCAGAACTCAGTAGCTAAGTGAATAATGTGATGACATTTGAAGCTAACAGTCCTAAACATCACTAGGAAGATTCAAACAAACAATACCAACTGAATTTATAACTATTAATTGGCCAACATTAATTTGTTCATAAGTACTTTGAAAATGATAAGAATAGTGAGTAGATTATAGATATGACAATGTATCAGTCAGTCAGTTAATCATACGTGACGATGACAATCATTATAAAACAATTTTTTGATCATTCAAACAACTCAGTATTTGGCATAGATCTCTCCTTATCTTTCTTATAATTCAATTTCCGAAAATAGATCTATTGTTGATATGTAATATATTCAGTAAAACAATAGACAAACATTAACTTAAGTAATCATTCAAGGTTGTTTGTAATCACTAATGATGTTACCTAGTACAATAATAAAACATTGACGAATTAGAATCGAGAAAAGAAAACTATTTGATGATAAGTTATATTCCTGAACTAATATTACAATAATAATGCACTGTGATAAACAATTATCTTAAAGAAAATGAATACACGAATCATTTTTAAAGAAATATAATACTTTTTTAATTGAGATAATGCGTCAGTTAAAGCTAGACCACCATGGAAAATCTGGAAGCAGTGGACGGCCGTTTCGTCTTATTGTCAGACTCCTGGGCAGTGCGCATACACGACCTTGCCTCGCGGAATTCGAACCCAGGACCTAAGACGAAACGGCTCTCTTCGGTGGTCTAGCTTCAAGTGACTCATGATCTCAACTACTGAAATTACTACAATCTCCGCAAAATCCATTCTGATACAAATATAATACTCAATATGTAAACGAAACGAAAATGTAGAAACTCCAAAAATAACTGACATTCAAAGGTGATTGAACCATAAGTAAAAATAATCAAAAAATAAGCGGAATTAGAAAATCTAATTTTATTCTACGAAACCAATTCTATATTATAGGAATCTATATTCAGTAAGATAAACAAAAGTAGATAAGTACCGATTATATGTCACCTCCCATTATGAATATCAATTGACATGCACATCTAAAAGCATGTACATTTGAAAGACAGAAAAGATAGGCTTCTATTTGATTTGTTGAGCATATTACCAGGAATATACGCCTTTCAGGACAAAACAGCATTTTTAGCTCGATAAGAAGACATCTGTTGTACAAAAGGTGTAATATTGACTTTATAAATGCATCTAAAGTCATTAACAGACCGTTTAATTTGATTTTATGAATTTTGGCCGAAGCCATAAACATTAGCTGGCTTAAACTTGACTTTATATAAAAAAAGTCAGTAATCAACTTTTACTTGCCCTGGTCACAGAAGCAAAATTAGTATTTTGACCCTTTTTCTTCAATGGATTATATTCGTGACTTCCTAGGTCACTATTATAATGCTAAATAACATTGTAGATATTATTAGACTGTTATAAACAACCATAAAAACCTTGTTAAAATGGGATTACTAACCTCTTTTACATTCTAAACGAACTGTTTGTTTATGATTAGTGCTTTTTGACATTTTTCTCAATTTTAAAATTGTATTAATAGTCAGTATGTAATTGTCGAGATGGTTGAATTTTATTGAAATCATGAATCGATTAGAGTCAGACAACCACTGAAAGCATGGAAGAACTGTATGTTAGTTTCATTCTGTTATGTGAGATGATAAGGCAATATTGCGGGTCTATTGAGGTTAGGCTTGTATAACACTGAATACAGGCCCAGTTGTTTGTAGGTTAAACGTTCGAGCGGGAAACTGAAGAATCTGGGTTCAAGTCTCGCGTGCGAGATCGTAGATGCGTACCATTGAGGTATTCTGTACTAGGACAAAGCGGCCGCCTAGTGCTTTCATGACTTTAATAATTGGAAATTACTAAACTATTACATTGTATTAATCCGAAAAAAAGAAACAAGATACGCTGAATTAATAATATTTCATGAATATTTTGTTTTCGTTTTGCTTACGTATTACGCGTAGGCTATCTGCTAAATTTATGATAAAGGGAAGTGGGGAACTTATTAGTAAGTAAACAGAATTCACTTGAAGGCACAGAGGATAATTATACAGTACTATGTTGATCAGTGTATTATCGGCTAGATATATTGTTCAGAAAAAACTACTGACTACCTGAATAGGTAAAATAGGATCAAACGCTCGAGAGTTAAGTTATTAGTATGATAGTCCACTATGTCATATTTTCCAAACAGCTATAATAAACTTAGGGAGTAGTTTCGTTAGTATTCCTTTTCTTATTGCGTCTTTACAGGGATTTCGTACTCCTTATTGAACTAAATCTTTTAAGCTTGTTTGAATTTTAGGTAACTAATTACATGGCAAACTTTACTTTTTACTAAGACGACATGACTGGTGAAATTCAAATGTATTTAAAAGAAGGCGGGCTTTACTTACGATACTGGATGACAATTGAACCAAACCACAATTTATATGAAGTTGGAAATCTAACCATTGCATTTTATTCTAGTGGTTTAGAGAAATGTGGTTTCTATGATACCTGAATGTCCTCGTTTTAATTCTTAACTAGCTCGTGGGTGTAGATTGAATTAAAAATGAGATAGTCAGTGCTTTCAAAGTTTCCAATGATTCATTTCATAATTGAACTAATCTACACAACTAACTATCAAAACTTTCAATTTTTCAACCAACACTCAAATTACAATGGTTACTAAACATCATGACCTGGTACAGTGAACATACTAGATAGTGGAAAAATGATACACCCTTACAATTGACCAAACATTCTTCTCATTTAAGTAAGTGATTAAACTTGTGAATAGAAAGTTATTTTATCATTATCAGGATTGAACATTACATAAAACAATAAAACCAGTTCAACAAATCAAAAATGAAATAAGTAAGCAACAAACAAACAAAAGAGACATACACTTTACAAACCATTTATATTCTATTCTTTATATATAATTTACATCAAAATAATAAAAAAGAAAAAAAAGAAGTCATCTAATGAATAAACATGAATATACACTTATACTTAACATACATTGTATATCACATTAGAACTTCTTCTTTGCTAATTATTCAATATAGACAAAACCACCGGTATACAGTTTGAAAATTATAATAATAATAATTATGAGTATATATATAGATATAAAGAATATGTACACATAAAGTTAATTATTTGTAAATAAAATAAGAACAATATAAAGGAATAATAAGAACTTTGTACAAGATATACCCAACTACTATTTTCCATCTTATTGATTTTCGTACATACATACATACATATTTCTGTTTTGTTTTTTTTTGGGGGGGGGGAAATAATCAAAATAAGTATGGTACAAGCAAAATGTCTACATCTGTATATATATATATATATATATATATATATATATATATATATAAATCGAGAGTTTGCTTCGGTTGTTAACTGCAAAATACAACTCCATTTTGAAGGTGATTTATCTATTACGTAATCAAAATATATATGGTACAAGCAAAAAGTATATATATATATATATCCTATAGCAGATATATATTATATCCATCCATAGAAATGTAGAAACCACCATAAAGATTCATCAGTATGATTACCTTTAGGTTTTATTAAACTTTTATATTGTTTATATAAATCTATTGGATCAAATATAAAATGTATAAATAAATCATCACGTGAAAAATAATTTAATAATTGAATATTATCTAATGAAATTTGTTTTAAATTATGAATAATTTCAATAGAAGAATCATTAGTAATATTTAATTGTTTAAAAATATTTTGGCGCGTACATTCCTTAAAAATGAAGGAATTTTAAATGTTTCAATATTATAATTATGATGATGATGATGATTGAATACAATTTTATTGATTTTTTTATGAATAGATTCTAATTTCCATGTTTGATAAAAATTTTTTTGTATTAATATAGATAAACCATCATGTAAATAATTACGAAATTTAATAAATTCACTTTGATGTTTTATAGATATAGAATGTTTTTTATGTCTTGGTGTTTTATAACGTCCAATATATTCTGGTGGTCTAGTTAATTTTAAATTATAAATTAAACCACGTGCTGAAAATTCATCATCTTCACTACCCCAACCCCAATGACGTGTTGGAAATCCATTGATCTATTTATTTGAAAAAAAAGGGGGGTGGGAAAGGAAACATCATTTCAAACATAACGATAATTACTGATAATTAAAAGTATATTCAATACTGACTAGTTAATTAGTAACAATCAATGATCTATTTATTTAATTCTTAATGTTTCAATATACAGAAAGAGAGAATTAGGATTCTTTAATACAATATAGCATGCAACAATCAAAACATATTTGATGGAAAAGATTTGAAAGATGTAAAAACTTTTACATATCTGGACAATATCATTGATGAACATGGTGGATCTGATACAAATGTGATGGTGTGGATTGATAAAGAAAGAACAGCATATTTACAACTGAAAAACATTTGAAACTCAAAACAATTGTCAATCAATACTAAAGTCAGAATTTTCAATAGAAATATCAAGAGAGTTTTACGAAAACGTTGAGAAATATGAAAGTCATCATCCAAAAACTACAAATTTTTATTAATAGTTATCGACACAAAATACTTTGAATCCGTTGGTTGGAAACTATCAGCAACAATCTACTGTGGGAGAGAGAGAACAAACCAGATCCTGGTAGAGGAAGAAATCAGGAAGAAGCAATGGAAGTGAATAGGATACATATTGAGGAAAGCACCCGACTACGTCACAAGACATGCCCTTACATGAAATCCTCAAGGCCAAAGGAGAAGTGGAAGACCAAAGAACACATTCCATAGAGAAACGGAGACAGATATGAGAAGAATGAACAAAAATTGGACAGAACTAGAAAGGAAGGTCCAGGACAGAGTGGATTGGAGAATAAGTAAGTAGGTAATGTTGATTATATTCGATCAGTCAAGTTTTCGTATGATCAAACTAACTTTAATTCTAAGTGAATTGAATTAGATCTTGGAACTTCTCTCAACTATTTACAAATAAACCAAAATGATTTTGCTCGGAGATGATCAATTATTGTTTTTATCGAAAAACAGAGGACAGCTGAATTTTTTTGAACAGAGGTGTATAGCGGTTAGTAGTGGAATCCAGGCCGTGCATTTTGTTTATTCTGGATTTGTTGGTTGGGCACACTGCATCCTAGAACTAGTATTCACAATGAAACTCTAATTCAGTACCGTTTGCTTTAAACTGCTTACGTAATCCATATATCTACAAACACCAGATAGTTACTGGATCTCACTGCAACTCATTGTCGAGGTAATCTACACAGGACTCACATATTCCAAGAGAGACTGATCAATTATAATCCTAAACAATAATAGGAAGATCCCAACAATCAATATATATATATGACTTATTTTACCTAACTAATGATATGTACGCGCTAAAACTTCAATTACCACTAAATGATTAAAAAGTTGATTTCCAGTGAATTGAAGAAAACATTCATAAAGGCCGATAAACAAGCCATCATTTTTACTCATATCGTATTGGATAAAGTTTTTGTTTATATTTCCAGCATCAAACATACAATGAGTATAATTTAACGGATACATTAAATCCGAATTTCCCCTGATAAAAGGTAAAACACGAATCGGTAATAGTCGAAGTTTTCATATTTCTCAATATCATTAAAAATAGTACTTATATAAAAAAGCAGTGGGTAAAAGAAATTGAATATACATTACAGTAAGCCTATATAATATAAGCTTAACGACTAATGTTTAATGAAGAGAATGAGAACACAAGTGGGGACAATCGAATGTACTCAAACACAAAATCACGGAATCTCTCAGTAAAATCTGAGAACCATACAATAAATACTTCATTTACAAAATGTCAATCATTTGTCTCAGACTTCACTGTTCTTTCGTTTCCACACCAGTCATTCTTTGTTCTCGTTCTCTTTTCTTTGATCCTCTTAACCTTCTCCCTCCAGGTATTTCACTTTTGACTGATGGTACATACTACTTATGACTGTCGACATCAGTAGCACACATCACAGTTGTCAGAGTCAACATTTTTGAGGATACACGATTAACTTAATAAATAACAGCTTAAGAATTTATAAAAGAATTTCGTCATTTTACGTCATTAACATTAAATTCCTACTTAAGGATATTATATTGTGATACACCGGATTTGTATGCTTAAATGTGACCTCTGATGAAATTCGTTTACGGTAACTCTTGCTCTGTCAAATTACTTATCTTTTCAAAGATGATTGTCAGACTTTTTACTGGATACCAAATGCATATCAGCTAAGCTAAGTATTAACATTGAAGGTGAAATAGAAAGATTACTAAGTGCTACGAATGTAAACAACTGTAAAATGGAATATATAGTTATTGTGTCTAAAAACAACAACGTGGTAAATTGATATTAGACAAGAACTATACTCATAATTGTACTCCAATTAGCAATTTTTGTAATAGTATATTTTTGTGAAATTTCAAGTGGTGCCACGACAAGATAGTTTTATTCAATACATCTAGAAGTTATTTAGAAGATATATAGAGAAATTAAACAATCACTAGCTAAGAACTTATCTCTTGCATTTGAATTACTCTTTCACATTTATTAGGCATCATATATTATGCCTTAACTTTAAAAGACTTCATAAATAAACCAAACTATAATAGTCTTAACACTGAACCAGTTTTCATTTCGTTGATTAATTAAAAGACAAGAAACTGTTACAAACATTGTAAATGAATTCCTAATTTAGTTCTTAAAAGGTACATCTACTTGAGGTGTTTTCCTAGAAAGTTAAAAACCATTTATTTGCATACTTTAGTAAAATATAATACTTGGGGATAGAAACAAAATATTTTAGAATGTTTCCGAATTTTTATTACATTACATAACGTCTTTTTTTCTCACCTTGAAAATATTCTCTTTAGACATAGCAGCAACACCTCCTGCAAAGTTTACAAATGGTGGATGATATCGGAAGTCATCAACAGCAGGTGATAAATGTCTTAATTCTGTATCACAAATATAAAAATTTTCACTTTTCTCAGGTAAATGATCAACATCATGAAAGATAAAACAATTAATATCTGGATCAATATCCAGTGCATGCAAAACTCCAACATTAAATAGTAGTCCACGATTGAAAGGAGTGGTTCCAGCCTTAGAAAAAAATAATCAGTCAGTTTAAAAAACTAAAATATGTATGTATATAGCAAAACTAGATAAATTTCCTAGATAATAAGACCAGTTTGAAAATAATTTAGAAATGAATACTATCCATCCAAAGATTTTATTAGTTAATAATGCACCTGGAATGATGAAGATACCAAGATATCAAAGTTTAGACACTAACACAGACCAGTCCCAGAGCAATATTTTTGATTTAAAGGGACTAAAGGTATCTTATTGTGGTGTTTGAATGAACTAATGATTCCTTTACACTTGTTGAATGCTTGATTTTGAATTCCAAATGCAGTACATTCGTTTGTATTTATCCAGTACTTCTTGATCCAGTTGCGTTATTTCTATGATTTTTAGTTCATGCTATAATTCAAATACTCTTAATTACCATACTTATGCATGTTAGTATTAAAACCCAGTGTTTTTACTGAATAAAAACATGTCGTCTGAGTATGAAAAACTAACAGGTGAATCACCCGATTTGACTAACTTCTTAAAATTGAAAGGTGTCATTTCTTTGGATGCATCTGCGAAGAAATTGGATCAGAAGTGGGACGGTAGGCGACCCTGATAAAAGCACTCCTAAAATGGCGTCAAATGCAGAACCATTTGAGAGCTTCTGTACTTCTTTAGAACACCTTCCTGTGAAAAACACTGCCACAAAACCTCTCGGTCAATGGAGTCCAATTCTGTCCCGAAGTTTGAGAACTTCGACAGTAGTTTAGCATCGGTAATTACATCCGTTATCTACAACCTGATGTTAAGCAAATATTTGTTGGGCTCATTTGTTTCTAGGTCTAAAATCATCCTGATTATTCATGTTTTGCTTTTTACAAGAGTTGTTTTAGAATCAGATGGTTAAAGAGTATTATTTCAGACACTAAGTCAGTCAAAAGGTTTATTTTGTAATTGTGCTTAAAGCCATTTGGATACCATTCCAAGCTTATCCAAGATAAACCGTTTTTCTAAGATAGACTAGGCGCATGGCTAATTCTTCTCAAAACGAATCCCTGACTTTCATATTTTTTAACTATTCAAGAAGGAGAGATAGTTTTTGATCAAGCTTGGTGACACGACCCAATTCATCCCGCAAAGTTGGACGTCTCTAGGTGGGACAACGAGCCTCCTTACACTTAAAATTTGTAATTGCGAGGAATAAGCAGTAGTCATAACTTTTCATATATTACTCTGATACATGAAATACGCTATATTTAGTCAGAAATTAGTGGTATGCATTTAAATGTAAGTGGCGTGCACGTAGTGACCAAATATTATATTTATCTGACTAATAGTGAGACTAATTAACATATGTTCTATTGCAAACCTTAGTATACATTCTGTACAGTGACTTATTAGTTATGAATGATCCACGAATTTCTGTCCTGTAAAGTTAGCCTGATATCTTTGAGAAAGATTCGATCAACACAATGTTGGGGATTCAAGTAATTAGTGTTAAACCGTTATACTGTTCCATTAAACAACTGTCATCATCGAACGACAAAGAAACAGGAATAGCTCGGGTCACTAGTAAATAAACTACTCAGCGACTACGTCAGTTCCATCAATTTTTTAAACTGAAGTGGTCTCAATTCCACAAGTATGTTAAACAGATGATGGAATGATAAGAATAAATCAAAACCTTCACAAATTATACTATCAACATAAACTCCTTACCTGCTCAATCACAAAAACATAATACGGCATATTTTGTCGTAGCAACAAAGCATGTAGTCTTGGCAATAATAACTTAAGGTGCTTTTCTCGTTCCCTATAGGGTATAATGACAGCTATTTTTTGTGAAGACACACATTGCGGTTTCCAACTCCCCTCACAAACATGCTGAGCTTCATATAACAAGTCCAGAAAATCTGTGGGAGTATCTGAGCTATATTGGGTTAGATCAAGCTCTTCACTTTTCGGGCAACAGACTAGTAAGCGATAAATTAACTGTTACAAAAATACCTTTGCTTCCTGGTTGGCTACAGAGCTCCTTATCAGTAAGTTCATCAGGATGAGTGTAAACGACCCGAGGCGGAAGATTCGGCAAACTGGCTATGATGAAGAAAACTGCTACCACCACGTATATTGCCATACATAACTTGCAGCGATAAAGTGAAAGACGCCTCACAAAACGATTCCCACGAATAAGAATCATAGTTTTCCTCACCAAGTTTCAGATAATGATAGGTATATCACTTTAACAAATGACATTGGTTTTGACCATTTTGAAGGTTCCTCAAATTGGTAGACGGATTGTGTGAACAGCGTTTTTAGGTTTTTAGGCAAATGGTTCGATAGCCACTTGATACTAATCAGCCTAATTGACTTAGAACTACAGTTGAGTTAAAATTAAAAAGGGAGCACATTTTCGACTCACATGTAATGTTCGTTACATGTGAAACTGCTTGAAAAATGGGCGGCAGAGTGGAGAGAAGAAGTCAAGGTAAAATGAAGAATATTTAAGCGAACATTGAGGCAGTCTAAAAAAGGAAATGACCAAACACCGCGGTCATGACAATTTACTCCGTTGTCATGTCATATTCAATATTCAATTGATTGAGTAAACACTAAGAAGACAAGTGAAGTATACTTGTGATGAGCTGATAAGTGCAAGCCAGTTTTTTGACCTTTTTTGTGCTACATAACAATTATCGGTTTCCAGTGAAGTTGATCGGTTGTAGTCTAGCTTGTAGCGGTAAATCAATCCTCAAAGTAAAAAGCTGTGTAAGTCTTTGACATTGATTCTGACTTTATCAGTTTTACTGAGGACACCCCAAATAAGGGCGCTCGACAACGAATTCATACCAAATTACAATTATGTACGCCGTTCTACTAATCCCTCTCAACAACTAGCCAGGTTAGATAGAGTGGTTTTCAACAGTTCGATTACTCTCCAAATATATCTTCCAACTCAATCATCCCTAACTTATAATTCGGCCTAATTCGTATCTTGTGTTGCCAAACCCTGAATATTTGTGGGATCTTAATTGTGAAGTCGAAATGACAGGTTATATCAAACGATGAACTGCAAGTTTGTTCCTTGTTGTGACATTATACATCCCTTTTCAATTTCACATATCGCGATATTATTTTTTACCCTTGGGGTTTTCGGTCTATTTATCCATTTTGCCTACATAACGTTGGAACAAGTACCTAAACTATCAAAAATGAGGAATCTTGCGCCTCCTATATTCATTCGTGCCATTCTGGCCTGATAATAAAGATTCGTGGTCCTGTTAAATATGACGTAAAGTACCCATGTGCACAATTTCTCATAGTAGCGAAGGCATGACCACAAAGTTTCTACAGATAGGTTTGTGGTGTTTGAATGAACTAATGATACATTTGTACTTGTTGAATACTTAATTTCGATTTCTAAATACAATACTTCCGTTTGTGCTCATCTAGTACTTCTTGATTCAGTTGCATAATTTCGGGGATTCTTAGTTCATACTACAATTCAAATAATTCGAAATACCATGGTGGCGTCGCGTTGGAGCCTGGGATGGAAAAGTCAGATATTCATTCAACTTCTGAAGCTTTTGAGGATTATTTGGAAAGGTTGGAATTCTGGGCTATGACCAAGGAAGATGATGATGTTAATATTGTGGCACACTTCCTCACATTTACTGGAAAAGAAGCATATAGCTTATTAAAAACTCTGGCTATGCCTGAAAAGCTCATTTCGCTTCCTTAAACAGCTCTCAAGGAACTACTGCTAGACTATGTTAATTATACAAATTTCGAATGCGGTAAAGGAGGAAGATCTCGTAAAATGATTCATGAGGATATAAAAAACACCACTACATTACTACGTAATCCCAACCCAGTGCATACGCAGAGCTATGCACATTATTCACTGAGGAGTTGCAATGCATTTCACGAAGATGGGGACAAGTTTGGTCAATGTTTGTCCTGCGGCAAACTCCACTCTTTTAATTCATGTAAATTTCGTAATTCTAAGTGCTTTGAATGTGGTGATATTGGACATACTCAGTCCGTCTGTAATACCGATGCTCATCTTACTGCAACTAATATCAAGTCTTGTGATTCTGATTGTACTGAGTCGAGTATTCATAATGATCATTTATCTTTATCGACGATTTAAAAGACAGTGTAGAGTCATATAGTAGTTCATAGTTAAATGAAACTCAGAATCCTTGTGAGACAACGATTTCTAATCAATCCATTTATCAGAATTCTCATGTTATTGTACCAGGTATGACTTTTCTGATGTTTCACATATTTCTGACGAAATTTCTAACAAATCTTAGGAAAATCTGTTGAGTGAACATAATCATGATGGAAAACCTGATGTGGTTTGGATAGATGCTGATTTTTCTAATGATCCTTTACTCTGCGATGAAATTCTTATTAAATTTCATGAAAATATTTCAGACGAATCAAATCCTGATGTCATATCATATATTGCCTATCCTCATAATGCATTTGATCTTTGTGAAAAACTTGTTCAATGCGAAGCACGAGTACCAAATGACCTCGATTTCGATTACAATTCAGATGATTTCATATCAAATGCTGTTTATCCTTAACACAGAAACAGTTCTAATGCTTACTCTAAACAATGTGAGAAACATGTCTTAAATGAAGCAACATTATTCATAACTTGGGGATATAAAGATCCAACGTTATTTCATGGTGGAGGATAGTGTTGGAAAATCTATGGTTCGAATTCCAGATATTAATGATTCCAGTACTAAACCAACATGCTGATTGTATACAATTCCCGATGAGTCTGTTCCGATTTCGTTTGTTAATTCCAATACTAATGAGCACATTCTAGATACTACAGAGTTCTTATCCAATACAATGTTGGACAGACACAGGATGAACTCGAGAAGATGTACAATCAATTACAGACACCTAGACACCAATTTAAGCTGAGGCGGATGTGGTGTTTGAATGAAATAATGATTCTATTGTACTTCTTGATTGCTTGATTTCGATTTTTAAATACAATACATTCGTTTGTGCTCATCTAGTACTTATTGATTTAATTGCATAATTTCGGGGATTCTTAGTTCATACTACAATTCAAATAATTCGAAATACCAAAAGGTTAGATCTAGTATAGTTATTAGTGATGCTTTCGAACCTTACAATACACTCATAAAGGCTGTATTTAAATATGGAAACCCAACCAGTCGATAACGGTTGGACCAATTATTCCTCAATATCTAACTCCGAAAAAATCTCAGAAACAGAAATGTTGTTGCATATGAGGGAGTTCAGCAGTCAACGAACTTTTAGCGAAGGCCTCTTTATACAGTATTTCCTCAAAAGACGCAAGTAGAACTCGTCTCATTACCAAATAACCCCGCAGAAAACTGGGTGCGTTTATCGATCGGATTTGGAGATCACCAGAACCCCCAGAAAAGAGGCTACCTTGTCAAATTCCTGCTCTAAACGACTTAAAAAAGTAACAGATCTCTGTGATTCTCTTACTCTGAGAACTTCATTTTCTGGTTGTAGGTAGTGCCCGATCACGGTTAAGCATGTAATTGATCCACATTTTCATCGGACACACAACAGGTACCCTTACATGTATGTAACACGGCCAAAACTGCTGTAAAACCATCAATGTTAAACGTCAAATCACGACTACAGGGCCATCTGTAATTTCGAAAGTGCGCCGACTAGCTTCCGAAATGCTAAGATTGGCCGAAAGTGGATTCGGGCATGTGAGAGGCTCGGGAATTATCCGGCAACCAAACAAACAGTGTGGGTTACTTTTCCACACTTTACGTATAAGAGAAAACCACGCCCGTTCATTATCTTTTGGCACATATCCGCGGCCTGATTCAGGGAGTTTTGACATTATGTCATGATTATTGAGTCCCTAACTCCATGGAGCTCTTGCATTTGACCGTCATGTTTTCTCGTTTCACCAAATATGGTTGCTCATCAGCCTGTCATGCAATTTCTGGATGATCTAGGAGTATTTGAGTTTAGATAACCTCCACATAAAAACCCAACAATAGAGGACTCTCAGTTTATTATCCAAATGGTACTTACCTCTATAGTGAAGTATTTATGATATACTTTAGTGATCACTTATAATGTTTTGAATTATTTGAATTATAGCACGAACTAAGAGTCCCAGAAATAACACAATTGAATTAAGAAGTGAGACACAAGCACAAACGTATGTATTGTATTTGGAATTCGAAATCGAGCATTCAACAAGTACAAAGGTATTATTAGTTCATTCAATCACCACATCACTCCATCATGAAAATCAGTCATTTGTTTGAACTGTAAAAGAGGCTTGTGACTTCGTTTCGGCAAGGACACTAATTTTCATATGCTTTCTGTTATCGTGGGGATTCATTAGTAATTGATTGTTAGACGGATAAAACTATGTGTAATTTTAGCAGCTAATTTCAAAATGGCGGCAAAATACTGCAAAATAAGTAATATGATGTTATGACTTTACTCTGTTAATTGTTACGTGACAAAACCACCAATTAGGACATCAATTTATATGACATTTTTCTTGTGCTAAACCAATGATACATTAAAACAGTACTAGAAGCCATGCGTAGACTCTGAATCCTCATCGGCCCTACACACCTAGCCCTGCCTGTTGAATCTAAAAAGCAATCTCAGCCTCCACTGCATGAATAGTACATTTCAGACATACATAGTTTACATACAGGCAAATCAAACTGCATCGTACCGTAAAATAAAAAAGTAAGAATCATACAAGATCGACTGTGAGCGTGGGAAACTGTAACTAATAAATTGGGAATAAGTTAAGAATGATAAATCGTATAACCATAGGCAATAGGTCAAATGGAAGATTATGATAGAGGGAATATGAATATACATGTAATACAGTTACATAATAGTTATCCAATAAAAATATATGTAATGATAATTCGTAAATAATTCCTAGAAGTTAACATTCATTTATTATTCGTCCGGATATAAGATGTATTCACGCTGAAGTCTAGTTTTCATGGCATTGTTCTATATCTTCCATTCTTATCAGCTTAGAAATTCCTAGATTGTACAGTAGCAACGAAAAGAACACGATGTACCTAATGATTCTCGAGATCGATAGTTCGATGACCTGGTGGCAATTTATTCCGGATCTTAACGATACTTGCTTTCATCGGTGCAAGGTTTAGGCTCTCTCCAAACTAGTCACTCACACGAAAATATGTCCTGTCGTTTAGAACTATAATGAAACCATTTCCGTCCACTTCCTGACATTTTTTAGAACGATTTGAGGTGCGGATCGGATTAAACGTTCTGATATTCAGTGCATTGATTACTTAGCCATCTTCAAATATTGGGTAAGCGAGTGAAGTGCTTGTGTGAACTAATAGATTCTGAAACGCCATCTATAAAGTTGTAACTCGAGTGAATCAATTCTAGGGTGACAGCTGAAAATCCCTCGAAAATTACGACACAACAAACTCCTGATTTATAAAAAGATTTGTGATGCTATCCAACAATAAATTATCTTTATCAGAACCTTTATCTGACAACATAGGTTCCTACTCAATAGTCTGTACGCTTAAAAAATATTGTGGTGACTCTAAAACGTCTTACATATTATGTAACGAAATAAATACTCATAAAGTTCTTCCAAAGCGCTTTATCACATATTATTGACATTTCTTCACCCTCTACTTTGTCTTGTACACCGACTTCTATAGAGTGCTCTAACAACTATCTTTTGCATTTTACATTCCTACTTGTCTCGGACTTATTACCTGTTTTAAGTCAAAATTTACCCTTGTTAAATTTTGTCGGCATATAATACTCGGACTACTGACAGTGAGTTCATGTTTGACAAAACTCTAATGCTCTGTGGTTTGGTCACTGATATTTGACATCCGACCGTCAGATGGAAAAGACTTCTCCAACATTTGCAGTTAGATATTTGATTATTTTTTGTTTGGAATTCTCAGGCACGAAACACTTCTTTTCCATCCATTACACTATTTATTGCCAAAAACACCGTTGACTACATGACACAAGCTGTATTGTATGAGTCACTTTGCACCTTCGATATAATTTTTTTCGCTCACCAACTGAGAACGGGTCGAATTAAACATATAGTTCGTGCATCGATCAATTTAATACAAGTGACTCTAAAAAGCTTTGTGCAATATACGGAAGAATCATGCCAAATTATACTTACTTCGCGTAGTTGATTGTCCCCAATCAGATCAACTATTGGAATTTCGGTCATTGTAGTTCTCAATTGAGCTGTTATTATCTACAGGCCAATACTAGTGAAGTGGATTATGAATTGTGTCACAAATGTGGTGCTGAATCAAGAAGAAATGTAGCCAGTCATGCTGTAAGATATTTTCCCAGTACAGATAGAGGAAAAAATTATCAAACCTTTAGAAAGAGTTGACCACAGAAGACAAAAGAGAATATGAGTTCTGAAGCGCCCTCTGCTTCCGACTGTGATGACAAACTTTATGGGTATGTTCGCAGTTTTATTAGCCACTCTCATGATCCTAGAGACAAGCTGACTCCAGAAATACTAGAACGAAAGAAGATAGGGGTAGGTATGTCATCCTTAAATATGGGTCTTAATTTCCCAAAAGCAAAACAACGTAATATTGATGGCCGACCAACAAAGTATTGGAAGTTCGTCTGTCGAAATATGACAGCCATCGACTTCTATTCCTAGTACATTATTGTAGAAGAAAGTCTTCAGGTGCTATAGAAAAACGAATCATACTCCCACCATCGTCTGGTCATCGTAGACGGTACACCAAATGGCCCGGAGATTGTTGAGAAACTTGACAAAATGTAATAGTGCAGAACACGATGACGCAAAAGTCTCCTCTAAGCTAACAGTTAAATAAAGAGTTGTTCTATAGAATCTATGCAAATGATTTATTCAGTAGACTTTAATCTGGACCTTATAAAGTTAAGTAGGATAGCAGCCACTGGAGTTATCGATCGAAGGGATGAGATAGACAGATGTTTGATAATAGGTGATCGGCTATCCATAATTTCTGAGTTAACTCACTAGTGCTGTAATAATACTCAGTAGATTTGAACGAATTGCTGCAAGTAGTAAACGAGCTTTCAGCAAAGTAGCCTGTTGCACGCAGCAGCTGCTGTCTACTATGGATGTAAACAAGTTAAAATGTGTAAAATGAGGAAACAATCATGTGAGTGAAGATTATTCCTGATGCTTTGATCTTACGGTTAGCAATTAGTGGTCTAAAGTGATGTAAAAAAGGCTCTAGTTTCTCTGTGTTGGAACGGGCCATAGAGGATAAAATTGTAATTCTCATTTGCGTATAATATCGCGATTTATCAGAAATAGCACCATCCACTGCCGCATAAATTTGTAAGCAAGTTATTGCAACTATATAGAGTCGCCAAAAAAGAGCGTAGGTCTGAGTCTAATCCCTGTCTAGTCTAGTTACTTATCCATATCTCACTCTAGTCACATTAAACACTTAAAGACTTTTAGGATCGTCATTAAAAATGGACGATTTACATCAAGCTGAAATAAGTTAATCAGCTGACAAGCAAAGACTTTGAGGTCTGTTAATAAGACCGAAATTAATGTTTATACGTCGAGTAAACTGTTATAGTAAGAAACTCACAGCTTCATAAATCAAGAAGGCCTGAGAAGGAGAACGTTTAGGACTGCTCTAATCTAATTTTTGTTGATCAGAGTTAGAAGGCAGCGACGTTACTCTACTAATCGAGTAGGACATCCTTGAAGCTCATTGGGTCTTAGAACAAAGGTTGGTTGAAAAAGTACTTACACCATCAGAAACTGGTGCTTTGGGTTAACTTATGATCAGCATATTGTAAAAAGTGTAACAGAAGGATCGTAAGACCTCTTAATCAATGATCCTATGGAAATGTTGAAGAATATATACATATATAAGTATGAGCCTGCTGATTCCCATTCTTCTGACAAATTGTTGTATATGAATGACTTGGAATCTATTAGGACATTAAAGTGGGGCGGAAATACGGTTTTCTGCTCATCAGGACATCGCAAGAATATATATTTATTATGAACTTTCCACCCAATCTTCAACCATGTCAGTGATACCTACAAAGGTTGCCAGTAAATACCACTTAACCAGACATTGATTAAGGAGTTTGGGAAAGATACAGACATGCAAATCTGCGGACGTCTAATCAAGGTTTGAGGTCGGACTTTCGGGGTTCAGGGCTTAGTTACTACACACGAATGTATTTGCCTCATCATGCTATGTTGAATAAGTGAGGATAGCAGAAATAAAACTGTTGAAATGGCTGGTAACTTTTTGATTAGTCTACTTCCTTAAGGCTCAGAGACGACGGCAGATCTGGTCGATAAAATTTAAATTCTCTACACAAAGCCAAATGTTGTACCACTAAACGCTTAATACGTAGCTATGTCAGCTAACTTGTACACATAAAAAGATTGAAAAGTTACTATTTATATTATAAAGGTCAAATTCTCCACATAAAGCAGACCTGAAAGGTACATGCTTGCGAATTCCACTGCATGAAATCTCTGATGAACTAATTACTACTTGGGCTATTCAGTTACAAATTCTTATGGTTTGAATTATGTATTTCGTCTGCAATACCCCAGGAGATCATAAATTAGATTCTAACGGGTCTTGATGTTGTCGGAGCATATTAAAATGACACTGTAGTTCATGCTGGGAACACTGAGTTACATAATGAACACCATTTAGATTTACTTAGACATCTTCGTGATGTTGTCATATATCCACTGAAGTGTCAATTCCATCAACTTCCTGGATTACAGTGTAGATTTCAAGAGGCTTAGACCTGGTTGGATAACCGAATCCCATCTGTTTAAGCAGTGTCACTCGCGACTGTCTCAACACTAAGACCATAGGTTTAAGCTCTTTAGTTTTGTTCCAGGTTTATTATTAACTTTTACCAACTACTGTTTTCACTTTTGGACATAATTTCTAGTAGTTTGTACTAAAAAAACAACACGAGGATAGAATAAGAAGTATTTTACAGTTCAAAAGATCATCAGTTGATAGAGACTGTCCGCTTGTTCAACTGTTGCATGACGACAGAATATAAAATGTAAAAGATACTCTTCGTTAGTTTAGAAGCGTCATGAGTATAGTGAAAAAACGTCAGAATCGTCAATGCAAACGTAGGTTTCCTGAGTTTCACAAGGTAGAACGGGTATTTTAGTAAATCTTGAGATTTTTGTGCCTTAGTTACAGGATAATTATTTCCACAGCAATTAGGTACCCATATAGAAGCAGAAGAAAAATCAAATCACTGGCTTGTCGAGCATCTTGTTGGCTTGCGACTGATTATGACTAGGATAGAAAATAAAAAAACTATGCTGCTCGTTTAAATAAGCTAACTTGAAATAAATCTACATAAAATCTTTAGCTTGCGTTAGCCAGAACGAATGCCTCAACGGTATATTAATCAGAAGGTAAATATGAAGTGTTGATTACGTTTATTATTGTACCACGCACAGATCATCGAAATTACAGGTGCGTTAAGTAAACATGAAAGAGTAGTGCCGAAAAGTGAGTGAACGAACAAGACTAAAATGCATATATATATAGTGAAATGTATGAATCATCGAATCATTTAAGCTACTAATATTTATCTATTTATTATTAGTTGTCTACGCAAAGTACTTCGGATCCGTTGACCGGACATTATTAACAAAAATCTACCACATACCAACGGAGGAAGAAATCATGAAGAAGCGCTGGAAGTAGACAGGACATACATTGAGTAAAGCAACCAACTGCGTCACAAGACAAGCCATCACATGGAATCTTCAAATCCAAAGGAAACGAGGAATATCAAAGAACACATTACGCCGGCAAATGGAGATAGACATAAGAAAAATGAACAAGAATTGGATGAAACTAGAAAAGAAGTCCCAGGACAGAGTGGATTAGAGAATACTGGTTGGCGGCCTATGCTCCATCGGGAGTAACAGGCCTAAGTAAGTAAGTAAGCATTCGTTTTTTAGTGACAGTTATCAGGACGAACAGTATACAAAATTTAAGGTTTATATTGCAAACTAACCACTACACAAGATTTCATTATACAAAAGAAAATAAACATTCAATCTATTCTATAGATATAATAAGTATAAAATACAATACAATTCATTTATTATACATTTATTGAATACGAATAATAGCTGAAAGTGATCACAGTATATATATATATATATATATATATATATATATATAGAACATCAGTAGTTGTGATCCAGTTCATGAACTGACTAGAAACATTGTGTTAACATGAAATATCATTAATATAATAATAATAATAAAACAGAAAACAAAAACACAACAGTATTATCCTTTTAAAAAGAATAGAATAACCAAACAAAAAAACAAAACACAAAGTTAACACAGACCAATTCAATTGACAAACTGTTTACAAATACATCAATGAATATTTATGAAGTTATATATATATATATTCAATTATTTAATTCTTCATTATACACTATACTCTTTATTGTTGTCATTTGATGCTTCCACTAATTCATTATTATTCACTTTTAATTCTGAAGGCTAAAATAAGTAATGAAATATTAAATAATTCATTGAATATAATAAATAAATCAATAAAATTATATACGATTGAACTGAAGATAATACACGACAAAACTTTATAGTTGATCATATAAGGGAATGTTTAATCTACAAGAACAATACAGAGAGGTTCAGTCTATTTTTAAACTGTTTTATGTTATACTTTGTGCAATAATCTATACCAATCCTTGTGAATATATAAAGTTTAATTTATTAGAATAAGAATTTGTGAAAATGATAATAATTTTAACAAATGAATTCATGAATCAATCTAAGCTAGATTATTGGTTTTAATAATGATTTAGAGATTAAATGTTTACATATAAGACTAAAGATTTTCGGTTCGAGTTTCAAGTGTAAGATTGTGGATGTGTACTACTGTATAGTCCAGTACTAGGATGAAAAGATTATTCAAGGTTTTCAGGTTTTCGATGATGGTCTAGTTTACATTGAAGAATGAATTCAACGGTTTAAAATGTTTGATTTGTTAGAATTCTATGAGAATTAGAATCATTTAAATACTTAACTGAACAAACTTTTAAAACAATCTAAGTAGTTCACTTGGTATTGCTTTATTTGAATCTTCTCATTGATGTTTAGTACTGCAATTAATCAGTCTCACGCTTATTGGCATATGTGCATACTATGCGTCCCGAATAGGACGAAACGCGCATCCTGGATTCCACTGTTAGACGCTATCCATCTTTCCTTAATCTACATGACATACTGAATGCTTGTATAGTGATGATGCATCATTGTTAGTCAACAGCTTTAAATATAAAAGACTAAAGTACACGTTTTTTTGTACGTTGTTTATTGCGTTTCGATCGAATGAAAAATAATATTTCATCCAAAGGTAGGTAAATTAGATACCTTTTTTCTGGATAATTTATTGAGAAAGCTTATCATCAGTGTAATAAATTAATCCATTTAATACAGTGGTTAATTTAAACATAAGAATATCCATTATTCTTCTACTCGCTGACCGTAGTATTCAGTAGAATAACTAAATATGTGTATCACTTCTTATCATAAAAGTAAATGTGGAGGTCTGCAAGCTGTTCCATTATCTTTTCCATTTTAAAATTTTCTGAAGTGAAGAACATCTACGAAACTACAACCATCAAATCTACGGATGTTTCAACTCTGAAATCTGTCATAAGCTAGTGTTCGATGAATGGTAATTAAAGGGTTAATTATTTCCGGTAACAATATAATCTATTAGATTATTTCACTTTAAACTGAAATCATCTACGTAGCGAGTAAAAAAAATGAGTGGTATTTATATTTATTTGAAGAGGTAATTGAATGATACTGTACTCAATCTCGGATTTTTAGATAGATCTCAATAACTGTTAGGAATATATATATATATCAGTTGTATAATGAGAGGTCTAGAGGTTAAGCGTTTTGCGCGCGCAAAGTCGAACGTCCTGAATTCAAGTGTCACATGTGGAACCATGAATGCGCATTGCTAAGAGGTCTCATACTAGGACGAAAAAACTGTTCAGTGCTTCTAGGTTATCAATGGTGATCTAGCTTAAATGAACTCATGAATTTAAGTATTAATAATAAAAAGAGATTTACTATGTTCTCCTTAGTTCTCAGAGTGTAGTGTTGATTATTATGTTAAGCCCATATACCTTATTTTAGCTTTCAGAAAGACTAATGTATTCATTTTACTTGAGTCACATTTTGATCTTGTTCATTACTCACTTATCAACCTTGACTGTTTTTATGTAAGCGTATGTGTGTACACTTTTTATCTTATTCACCAGATATCTGTAACCTATTTTTATTTGGCTATAAATATTGATTAACGCTTGATTAAATGAAGTTGGCTCACATTCCTTCTCTATTGCGCGTCATTTTACTTCACTCTCTTCTCTTCGTTTCGTTCCTCTGATTTTCCTGTCTAGATTAATGAGTGTACAAAATATACGCATTCAAAAATCCATTCTCGTTTTTGACTTATTCAGTAGCGCGAGTTAAGTCGATGATAGTATAGGGAGGATTGATGATATGTATACTTCACTAACAATCATTTGTATAATATTATTGAAGTTAGATTTCGAGTCACTAAAAGAGAATATTCTTTGGTAATTAACTTAATCACCATAGAATACTTGATAGAATATAAACATTTCAAGAGTATATATATATTACTGAGAGAATAAATAACTAGGTAATTTGTTCATTTTATACAGAAAGCAAATGTATTCAAAATGTGAAATGGCTTTAATGTTTACCACCAAGAAAACAAACAAACACAATAGATAAACAATTTCAAATGATGTTTGTTTCCATGGAAAAAATAAATAATCATTGGATAAAATGAAATTTTATTATAATGAATTAGATAAATGAGATAAAATCACGCTATAAAGTCTTATATGAAGTAATTCTCTTTCTAAAACTCATTTATAATAGGTTATAGATGAAATAAATGGTGATCTAGCTTCAGTTGATTCATTATCTTAACTATTTAAATTACTACCATCTTCACAAAACCCTCTTTTGATACTAATTAATATCTACTCACTAGTGCCTGGCTTCAAGAGGTATATCCGGGAGTTTTAGTGAGAAGTAGTGACCAGTGGAGATCAACAGGGTTTGTTGTGAGATAGTTACTCACTGAAGGCAATGGTTATATATGAACACCATTGGATGTCAGCTCAGTGGTCAAGTGGTTAAGCACTCGCGCGCGCGACCCATAGGTCCTGCGTCGGGATCCGAGGAGGGAACCGTGGATACAAATTGCTGAGGAGTCCCACAATAGGACAGGTTTTCTATGGTGGTCTAATTTCAGTTGAATCATGACCTCAACTATTGAAATAAATAAAAAAAAACAACTAAAAACTTACTTGGACAACAAGGAGGAAAAAAAAGAGAAAATGTAAATAAATCGATCACCATATCAATCCTAAATGAACTAAAATCTCTTTTTTAGATATATAAGTTGGATTTGAGATAAAAATAGGTTGTTACTTAACTAGTTTTCTTTTTTGTTTATTTATCACTCAAAAGACTGTGTGTCATCATTCACTATTTACACGTATAGGGTTCTTTTATAATAGACCCAATTTATTCTACAAAAGTATTTACTACTTAAATAATCAGGGTATTTATCATGTTAAATATGGACGAAATGAATAAACTTTCTATCATATTTAGTGATTGAACTGACAGTATGAAAAGTTTGATCCCTAATGATTCTTGATTGAAGGTGTTAATTTCAGCTGAGTTCAACTGTGTTTGTATACGTGATTTATAATTTGTAAATACAAATCTTATTATGATTTACATTATAATGGATGAAAATAGTGATTGTAATACATTTTGTTTGTCATTAACTGTTTTTAATGGTCTAATCAACTCACGCAAAACATGAAATATCATAAGTGTTATTTTATTAATAACTCAGATTTGTTGTTTTTAGAAATATAACCGTTAGCTAACTAATTGTTATTGAGGTCTTCTGGAGGTACCTGATAAGGAAATTGGATTTAAGGTGGTCTTAGAGACCTGAGAGCGTGACTGTAGTGCCAAAGGGACAACTGCTTGTGGTCGGTCACACACGACCTTTTTGTGAGTAATTTTCGTGTTACCTCCGTACTTGCTGAGACCTTATCGCTGGAGACGGATATCTATGGGATAAGTCGAGGTGTGCATTTTTAGGGTCGACCTTTTCTAATCCCACACCTCCTTGTGGAAAGACAACATCGCTGTTATGTTATTTGTCTGAAAAAAACACCTTATTGCCGTCACACCTCTGTAAAGTCAGAAGTACGACTTCGCCATCGGACCTTGAGTTTGTTGCTTTTAGTCTTACTGCTCTTCAACCGTCCTGTCTGTCATGGTAGGACCCTGAGGAACGATTGTTTCAGCCAGCATAGCTCAATTGGTTCATTACGATAGGCAAGCCCGACCACCACGTCAAGGTAGCAACAACGGTCTGATGTTACTGAGGTGGTGGTAATCAGTGTTAATTAATTATCTTATAACAGTTAATGATTTAATGTCATTTGACAAATCGGCGAGACTATAATTTATGGACGGACCAATCACGTATAAGATAACAGGTATCGGATTTTGGCGCGAAATTCACTCATCGATTTGGATAAATAGATGTTAGTCCGTGATGAAAACCCTACATCCAAATTTCTAACAATGATCTTCAACTGTAAATTATAATTATAATTCCTCACATAGTTTTATAACTCTCATTTGGCTCTATTTATTAGGTAGACACTCAAATTCAGTCTAACGTCGCTCAAAGGTTGTCCATAAATTATAGTCTCATCAACAAATCAGTGTCATTATTGGAGATTTTTAATTTAAATCCATTACTTTTACTTAATAGAAACAATAAACATAAGTCGACATTTTAATTAAGCCGCAATATTTTGCTAAATTTACTCAACTTTTGGTAGGACCTAGTTTAAAGAGTGTCATAGTAAGATCAAGCGGCCATCCACAGCTTTCAGATTTCCAGTAGCTGTTCAACTTATATTAGTTCGTGATCTTCAAAAGCATTTGGGTTATTATTCGTGTAACTATGCATGTCGAATCAAGTTACTTTCTCTTCCATATTCCACAATATTCTAGAATATTGCTAATCGTCTGTAAAGGAATTTTCTTCAACCTAACTTCATAACCAACCAATCATAATCGAAGATTTTTAACTTTACTGCTAATTCACAGGTTGCTGTTTATAAGAAAAAATAATAATACACTTATTGGATTTACATGAAGTTGAACGATATCCACATGTAGAGTATGATTATTTGTACAATTTACATGATTATCCTCTTCTTCAGACTCTTTCTCCGGTTGCATCAATAAGAATGGAATGTACAACGAACATCGGCTAGCGAAGTACACAAGAAAAAGAGATGAGAATGTATAAGCTAAACAGAAAAATACACATATACTTTAATTATGAATTAATCAAGGCAAAGAGAAAGAAACAATAACTTGAACCAAATCGTATGGATTTGTTTGATTAAGTTAAATTCTGATCATTCATAATACTTTCAAATCATAATTACAAAAAATGAATCCATTAGTCAATTAAAGCTAGACTACGACTGAAAACCTGGGAGCACTGGATGACTGTTTCGTCCTAGTATGACACTCCTTAGAAATGTGTACTCATGATCCCGTACATGAGACTCAATTCCAGGACCTTCAGACTCGCGTGCGAACATTTAACCTCTAGACCACTAAGACGGCACCGAATAGTGTCAATATCTAAATTTAATACTACATAAATACTAAGATCTCCACAAATTCTCATACCGATAACAATTATGTGCTCACCAGTGGCTAGCTTCAAGATGAATTCCCTGGAGTTCAAGTGAGGAGCCGTAACCAACAGAGCCCAATTCGTGTAGGGTGAAGACATTTATCTACCTCAGATAAGGAATGAAGAATTATACCCGACCATTGATTGATTGAAGTTATACATTAACACAGTTGGATGCCGGCTCAGTGGTCTAGAGATTAAGAATTCGCACGAGAGACCCAAGGTCCTGTGTTCGAGTCCCACATGCTGGATGGTGGATGCATACCATTAGGTAGGATGAAACGGCCGTTCAGTGCTTCCAGATTTTCAATGGTAGTCTAGATCTACTCAATTCATGAAATGAACTATGAAAATACAATTCATCATTGTTTATTGAAGATAAAATTGTTCATTAAATTTACATAAAAATGAAACGAACTGTTTTCTATTAGGTTTCAGTGAGAAGAAAATAAGGTGACACTTTCAAGTAAATTTGTTTTTAAGGATTCATTTCGCTATTTTTCAAAATAATTACTATAATTATATAAGGCCACATTATTGTGAGTTAATCATTATGAATTATTTAAGGTCAACAAGAACTAATCCACATCGAGTTCTACAGAGCAAGCTGTAAGGCATATGTGGAGAAATTTGAACATTTCACTTCTACCTAAAGTTTGTGCCGATAATGTTGTTCAGAAGAACGATGTAAGCTCCACGATCAAACTGTTATATCCTAGCGAAGATTAAATTACGAATAACTTCTGAGACCTATTAATGGACTAATATTATCTATATAATTTTATGGTATAACTATTCAGCAGTTAGATTATGTATATCTATATTTTCCTTATTTTAGGCTTCATTTTGATCTATAATTTATTGTTATGCTATTTGCTGTTCTTAAGTTATACTGAGTTTATTGATTACGGTCTCCCACGTTCACAGCCAATTTTTGGTTTTATTGTGTGCAAATGTTATTTCCTATTTTATGGTGCGATGTGGTCTGTTTGGCTAGTATATAAACCAAGTATGGTTGAAATAAATGATTTGCATGGCGGAAGCTGTTGTTGATGTTCTGGAATTAACTGGACGGGCTAGACGAGCAAAGGACCGATAAGGACGCCAGGCTGATCAGACCGGTCGAACATCATTGGTTTAGTGCAGAACAAGAGTGAATAAGTCGTATTTCGACTAGCGAATAAACTACTTGGTAAGTAGCCGGACCTTAAAGTCACAACACAAACCATCTAGCTCAAAGAACAAAACTCCATCAAGATATTTTTAATAAAGACAATTAGGAATAAAGAAGAACTAGAATTGACAATCTTTTATGAAAGTGAATTTGTGGAATGCCAAAATATTTCAAAATTTAATTACTATCAGAGTGAGTTTTGTGGAGATTTTAGTAATTTCAATGGTTGAATTCATGAGTCAAGTGAAGCTAGACTACCATCGAAAACCTGGAGACATTGGACGGCCGTTTCGTCCCAGTATGGGACTCCTCAGCAGTGCGCACCCACGAACCCGCCTCCCCCGCGAGATTTGAACCCACGACCTATCAATCTCGCTCGTGAGCGCTTAACCACTAGACCACTGAGCCGGCCGGCATCCAACGGTGTTAATGTCTAACTTCAACCAATCCACGAAATTGCACCACCGTCACCATCGTCTTCAGTGAGCTGATATCTCACAACAGACCTGGTTGAACTTCACTGGTCACGGCTTTTCACTAGAACTCAAGGAGTGTCTCTTGAAGTCAGTCACTAGTGAGCAGATGATTATTATTAGAAGGGGTTGGAAAAAACAATAATCAAACACACATGCGTTTGCATCAATCCAGTGTTTTTGTTCAGGTATTAAATGAATAAATTGTGTTAGTAAATTGTCTACAACAACAGTTCATTAGTGTGGAAAATATTAGTCGTAGACCTAATAAATATGTTGGATAACATATTTATTGTAAGTTAAATTGCCGATTTCCGATTTGTAGATGTGGACTGTTGAGGAGTCTCCTTCTGTGATGAAATAGCTTTCTGATACCTCTAGGTTTTCACTGGTTGTCTAAATTCAATAAGTTCTTGACCATGATTGATATGCTTTATCAAGAGCTTGCTTTAGCTAAACAACCAGCGAAAAACATGATGCGTTGAACAATTGTTTCTTCCACATACAGAACACCTCAACAGTGAACATCGGCAACCCTGTCAGATATTAAAACCATGAACTTTAGGTTCCATTAAGAACATTTAACCTTCAAATAAATGGGTTAACTTTCATTCAATAGTTCAGATTTTTGAACACTATTGAACAACGTTTACCTACCTACACTCAATCTGCAATGTCAAATACAAATTAAACAATCTCCACAAACTTCATATACTAACAATAGTACAACTGGTAATTTATTTTGATAGTTTATCTGCTGCAACGTTAAGTACAAATTACTAACTAGAAGCTAAAAATAAAGGAAATTATGGATTCATTTTCAAAATTTAACAGCACTGCCATAACATTTGATATGTCGATGATTCTATTCGTATTAAATATTCTGGTATATATTTCAATTAAACATACATGTGATAAACAACTTATATTTGTCAGAATAGGGTTGTGGAGATTATTAAGTTTTTAATTGAGATCATGAACTGATTGATGTTAGACCACCATTGAAAACGTGGAAGTACTGGACGGCAGTTTGCCCAATTGTGCTACTCCTCAGGAGTGCGCATCCACGATTCCGATCACGGGATTCGAACCCAGGGCCTTCAGTCTCTCTTAACTTCTAGACCACTGAGTTGGCATCCAATGGTGTTAATTTCTTACCTCATCTTCTAACCACTTTTATATATTTATTCTCCGTGTTTTCTAGTTTAACAATAATACCATTGTTCTTAATAATATACCTTCTTGTATTTTTGTTACTAACTGATCAGATTGTTTAATACATTTTCTCGCAAACGTTATGATGCATCAAGTTGTTGGGGATGCTAGATCCCTAGAAATCACTGAGTAAACTTCTCATGTTTGTGATCTTACTATAGAAATTTGGGTTCCTCATATTCGCGTCGAAAGTACTCATTTTTTAACCTTTAAATTGTTCTTACCACCTGGAAAGACCTTAAATATTATTAATTCTTTTGCTTTTTAATAGGCTGTTTTGTGACGTTTTTCAAGGATACTTTTGTATTATATATGTACGCTTGAGTTGTGTATTTGTCGTTCGTTCTTCCAGGCTGCCTGTAGAATATATATTTCCCCGGCTGAATTCAGTCTTTCCCCTCTAGTTATCAGCGTGGAATAGCTTAGCTTCTTTTTTGTTGTGTTGCTGACTCTTTTTCCGTTTATCAGTCCTAGGTGGTTCCGTAATCCCTCAAAATTAGCGCAAGCGACTAACATTAATAACGATAGAATCATTAACACCAATGTGTGATTTACCTAATTCCAATCCAGCATCTAACACGAACACAATAAGAAATTACAATTCCATGTAGTTCCTTATTAGCTTTTATTACCAGATCTGTAGAGCTAAAAAAAATGAACAGAACATTAAAGCATGAGTAGAGTTATCAAGTGAGAAGTTATTATTTGTATGTGTGGAATTTGTCATTCTATAATTGTCACAGTGAATAAACAAATTTCTGTCAGTACACGTATATAGAAATGTTGACTGCTATTTTAACCTTCCAATTATTTTCTTCACTAATTAATTTAAAAAACACACAATTATGTTCGGAAATAATAATACACTAGAAACAAATTGATAGTCATCATGGTTACTTAATCGTTGATATATTGATTTCATTATAAAAAGCTTTTTCTGTATAAATGATTACTTTAAAAGATCGATTATTTCATGACACTTTCAACTTCATCCGAACTCCACTTGGAGCCCCTCTGGGGCTACTGCCGATTCTAACCCCGGATAAAGGAGGAGGGTTGACAATTGGGTTAGCGACAACATCCCGTAGAAAACTAACTCGCTAAAAAACGCTAACCAGAAAACAATTATTAAACTTCATCCGTTCATCAAGTATCATGGGTAATTATTCTATTAGTATGTTCATTTCTAACTATTTTCTGTTGTAATTTGATAATATGAGCTTAATTATAAATAAGGAAGTTTGTATTGAATAATTTAATTTATCAGAAGGGGTTTTGTGGAGATTTGAGTAATTTCAATTGTTGGAATCATGAGTCATTTGAAGCTAGACTACCATGGAAAACCTGGAAGCACTGGACGGCCGTTTCGTCCCACTATGGGACTCCTCAGCAATGAGCATGCACGATCCCAACTCGCAAGATTCGAACCCAGCACCTATCAGTCTCACTCACGAGCGCTTAACCATTGGACCACTGGGCCAGCATCCAAAAAGACAATTTATACTGTATAGGTTAAACAGTTGTCGATGAGACTATGGATGATTTTTGAGCGATGCTAGACTGACTTTGAGAGTATCCACCTAATAACTAGCACCAAATGAGGGTTATAAACCTGTGTGAGGAATTATAATTACGATTTCAAGTTGATGGTTAAGGTTAGGAATTAGATTTAGTGTTTTCATCACGAACTGATATCAGCTCTAATTCCAAAACTCTATTTATCCAAATGGATGAGTGGATTTCCTACCAAAATTCGACACCTGTTATCTTATACGTGACTGATTTGTCCATATATTATAGTCTCGCCACAAACGACGATATAATTTTGGTAAATAAAGATATTTCATACTACAGAATAAACTGAACTAGACAAAAATTTAAGTCTATATAGCACTAGGCAACTGTTATGTTCTAGTGTGTAGCTTTTTAAACATATTGACTCAGCTCATCATAAATCGTGCCCAGAATCTTCAGACTTTATAGCTATTGCTTCACATCTACTAGTCAGTATTTATTGCTTGCTTACTTAATTACTCCTGTTGTTTCTCGTGGAGCATAGGTCACCGACCAGGATTCTTACACCTTACTAATTAAAAATACTTTTCATTATAATACAGTGTTATCGGGGACAACACATTACTTTTAAGCTTGAGTTTGAGTGGCTGTTATTAGATAACCTCGAAGATTAACGATATTCATCTTTAAACTAAGTAATCTCCGTAAGAAACACCTTTTGTATACCTTTAGGTTGTAAGTTCACATAGTTGGTAGCGAAGTTTTTATATTTTGGTGAGATTCTGACAAACCCAAAGCACCTTATAGAGGCTCTCTACTCAAACACAACTGGTCGAGTGAGAGATTATGGCGGACCGTCATCAGAATTGATTACCTCAAATGGTATTCGTCAGGGCTGCCCACTCTCCCCATTCTTATTCAACTTTGTCGTTGACGTGCTTTTAGAGATAACACCTTCCCCATCTAAATTTCCAGGGGTTGAACTTTTTCCAGGAGATTCACTTGTTGACTTGGAATATGCCGATGACATAGTTCTAGTTGGTGAAGACGCTGACGAAATACAGAGTCTTCTGACCACTATAAGCAATAATGCAAGCATGTTCAGGATGCGATTCTCCCCCTCAAAATGCAAAATGTTGCTTCAGGGTTGGGTTGCATCGACACCCAAACTAATGATACAGAGTGAAGTAGTTGAGTGTGTCGACCACTTCACTTATGTTAGGAGTCTCATCAACCCTTGTGGCCTGGTGTGTGACGAAATCTCAGCTCGACTAGCTTTTGCCAACGTGCGTCATTTATGGTATAGGAGAGATATCAGTCTACCAACCAAAGGACGGGTTTAGTGCGCAGCAGTTAGTTCCTTCCTACATTATGGCTGTGAAATATGGCCGGTAAGAGTAGAGAGTATTCGTAGGTTACTAGTATTCGATCATAGGTATCTTCGAAACATCGCTCGTATATCCCTAGGACCACCGACTAATTAATGCAGTTGTTAGGAAACGGGTACTAGGTAAGGACGACAAATCAATTGATGAAGTAGTGAAACGTGATCAGTCGAGATGGCTAGGACATGTGTTACGTACGCGAATGCCGCGACGAGAGATGTTTTGTGGTGTAGGAGTAGATTGGAAGAAAGGTAGGGGCGGCCAGATTAAAACATGGCACAAATCTATGAAGCCACTGACAAGTTGACTGAGCCATGTTGGTAGGTGTAGACTACTTGGTTGAGATTCGTGAGATGATAACAACCGATGGATAGAGACCTTGAATGACATGGTTCAAAATCGTTAGCAATGGCACAGGTGCATCTACTCTTTGTGTTCTCTTTAATTCTAATCTTCTGAATTCTCCTTGTATCTTTTTTTCTCTTTCCAAATATGTTTCACTGGATTATACTCCTTGATTATCATCTTCAAACTGTAATCTTCTGGATTGGTGCTTATACTCTCACTACCTCTACCACTATGGGATTTCAATCGACAATCGTATCTCCACGCTAATGTGGTGTGGCAATTAGAACTGATGTAAGGACGTAAGAAGTTCTACGTTATTACTGACTGACTCAAAAACAATATTTATTTAAAGATTAATTGGATTATCAAAGCTGAATAACTTAAACATAAAAGAACGTTTACAATTTTTGAAGAGCGCATTTAGTTAACTAATTATTATTAGACATCTGTACCTGTAAACAGTTTTATATTGCTTAACTTACTTTTAACACTAATTGAAATCTGATTTCTGTATGCAAATGAAGTTTGTTGAAGTCCGTTATTTTATCATTATCTTATTACCCCTTCTAATTTTACAGTTTGTTAATGGCAATTATATTCTTTAATATAGAGGTTTGTCTTAGCATAGGGCTTCCTAATAATGTGGATCCATGACTCCACCATAGTCCCGGATTCAAATCCCTCGGGCAGGATCGTGGATGGACACTGTTGAGGAGTTCCACAATAGGACGAAATGGTCGTCCAGTGCTTCCAGGTCTATTTTCAAATGGCTTATGAATTCAACTATTACATCACTAAAATCTCCATAAAACTCTCCTTCTGTTAATAATTCTTACTTACTTATTTACATTTTTATTAATATTTTGCATCATTTCTAAACATTCTTTAAAGTTTTCGGATAAATTCAATACTGTTGATGAAGCTAACCAATTTTTCTCTTGTCTTATATAACCATCTAATGCCACACCACGTTTTAATAGATTATCTGTTAAATTAGTATTTAACAGTGTTGTATATTTCCATTGTTGTTCTCCAGCTTGAGGTAGGTTAACTCTGTATAGAAAAAAGTGAAAATATTTAAGAATAGAAGAAAAAAGAGACAAATATCATAGATGTAAATGAATGAAAATTTGAGGATAAGATATTATGTAATAGGCATATGCATCAGAACTGATTATACTCAAAAAGTCATATTGCCAGACCAAGTTTATGTTATTGGTACTTAGAATTTGCTTTTGTCTTTTCATATTTACGGTTATGTCCTAAGCTATACGATATTGCGGAATACGATTTCCAATTAAGATACCCTGATTTATACGAGCAACTCAGAGTTTTTATTGGTCTTTTTTCTGTCTAGCCACTGCTTGTTAAGTCCAGAACGCCAATCTCATCCTCCGCAACACGAATCACATATTTCAGACATACTAGGTTTATAAATAAACAAATCAAACCAAATCGCACCATAAAATAGCAGATAACATTTGTACAAGATCAAGCCAAAAGTGGCTGTGATTATCAGGAACTGTTACTAACAAATTAGGAATAACTCAAGGATAGTTAATCGTATGATAATGGTCAATAAGTCAAATAAAAGCGTATAATGAAATGAATATGAATACATGTATGATATAGTCATTTAATAGTCATACAATAAGAACATACGTATAATATTACTTCATCAGTGATGCCTAACGGTTACCACACATTTATTCTCGTCCGGATATAACATTGACAATTTAGCTAACTGTTTTTTTTGTGTGACTAAAAATAGAAAGTTTTTTTTGAATTAATTGATAAATTCACTATTTCTAGGAGGTCCTATGATGGAAAATAATTTGAACAGCCTATAAGTATCACAATTTATGGATTTTTTTATTACTTATTTTGAAGTACACTGTATGTATATACATATTTTTAGCTATTTTAAAAGTGTTATGGTCTTTGAGTTGAATAGTCTGATTTCTCTTTGAGATACATACTGATGATGTTGTTCAGAAGAATGACGAAACCTTCACAATCAAATCATCCAACTCGGAGATCACAATATCTTCAATATTTTCATTATAAGTTATAAATGTTCTCTATCTTTCATAAACGTTTCTAATGATTCATACCTAGATTATAAGATACGTATTTGCATAAATTCATCGACAAAAAATGCTTAAAGTTTATTCTCTTTCCTTTTGGTAAATTCATGTTAACCAAATATTACCAGCCTTAACTTTGTCAGTATTGAAACTAACAATTAGTTTTTTTTCAGCTGATTAATATTCACTTCGATATTTTACCATATAAAATACTCAAGTTTTCCGAAAGAAACGGTACCCTTTATGAATACACTCAAATAATCTTATCTATACGAAGGGTTAACTTATAGAACTGAATTAAACATTAACATTTAATTTGATTGGAAAAGCAAGACATCAAACTACAAAACGTTAACAAAAAGCTATTTCTAAGTAAAGATAGATAATGGTTAGCAGTTGAATCTACGACGCTCGTTTCGTCCTCTTTCAGACTCGTCAGCTGGATGTACATTCATCTCATAGTTAATATTTACTGTGGGACTCGGACCCAATACCGTTTGCTTCAAACGCTATTGCGTTTGGGAAGATTCAAGTAAACAATACCAAGTGAATTTAAACCTCACCTCATTTCACATCTAGGCGGGTATCAAAACTCAGTAGCTAAATGGATAACACGATAGCGTTTAAAGCGAACGTTATTGATTTCGAGTCCCAGAGTGAACACCAACTCTGAGATGTAGGTACATCCAGCTGACTTTCCCAAATTAGGACGAAACGCGCGTCGTGGATTCCACAGCTAGCCACCGACCATCTTTGCTTATAATATCTATGAATTACGGCAATATCGAGGCAATACGCACAGTATGCATATATGCCAATAAGAGACTGATCATTTGCAGTCCTAAACATCAATGGGAAGATTCAAGTAAACAATACCAAGTGAATTTCAAAAGCTATTTCATTTTAGATATGAATCTGAAAATATAAGTTATTCGAAGAAAAATAGTTTTAAAACAATTAATGAAAAATTTTTTATTGTTTATAACTCATCTTTAATGTTAGATTTTCAATAGCAAGACTACAGTAAGCAAAAGAATATACTATACTTCTACTGAGTATCAGTAACTGAACAATAAGTAATGTTCAAACGACTAAACTGTTATCGTTTGTTCTTTACTTCATTCTATTTTACTTGTCCTGAGCCTACAAATCCTATATTATCTACGTTTGATAAGAGTGTTGTCAATGATAGATCGTTATTCTTTAACTAACAAACTGACCCCTATGTCTTACAATTAAAGTAATAATGAAGTTAGCTACTTTTAAATGTGATAGTTTGATAGGTAACGATCTAGAGTTTTAAACAGATTTGAACCTCCATATGAGCCTTAATAATAAAATAAAGGTATATATGTCTGACAAACCTTAAACTAAACGAAACGTGCTTACTAGGTTCTATTAACAACCAATAACTAAATTATAACACACAGTTTTGTTTCCGAGTATAATCTCATAGGTTTTAGTATTATTACTTGTTATATCCCTATAAGAATAATGAATGGTAACTTTTGGGATCCATTTATGGACCAATACTATACAAATACTTTTATTGTATAATTTCTCATCAGATTCTACAATTATAAATCCAGAATAATAATTGTAGAGCCTGATGAGGAATTATTGAAAAGAATATTCTTCGTTCATACAATTGGCAAAATACATCCAAATGATGTACTTTGCCTTAAATCCGGCCAATTTTATGGATTATTAATCTGGATTTATAATTGTAGAACCTGATGAGAAATTATTGAAAAGAATATTGTTCGTTCATACAATTGTGTATTGTGTAATTATCAGAATGGGTTTTGTGGAGATTTTAGGAAATTTCACAGGTTGAAATCATGAGTCAGCTGAAGTTAAACCAACATGGAAGACCTGGAAGCACTGGACGACCGTTTCGTCCTAGTATGGGACTCCTCAGCAGTGCGCATCCACGGCCGTCCAGTGCTTCCAGGAATTCCATGTTGGTCTAGCTCCAATGGACTCATGATTTCAACCTGTGAAATTTCCTAAAATCTCCACAAAACTCATTCTGATAATAATCACCTGCTCACTAGTGACTGACTTCAGGAGGACCCCCTGGAGTTCTAGTGAGAAGCCGTCACCAGTGGAGCTCAACCAGGTCTGTTGTGAGACATCAGCTCACTGAAGACAATGGTGTTCAATGGCGCAACTTCGTGTATTGTATAATTGTTAAATAACTAAACTGTTCATATTCATGTCCATCTTATTGTGAGCTTTATTTTGACCTATGAACTATTATTATACGACTTACCATTCTTGAGTTATGTCCTGTCTATTAATTATTATCTCCCTCATTCACAGCCACATTTGGCTAATTCTTGTACAAATGTTGTTTTTTATTTTATGGTACGATGTGGTCTGTTTGATTAGTATATAAACCCAGTATGGTTGAAATAAATGATTCATATCGCAGATGCTGGGATTGGTGTTCTGGACTTAACAGGTGGGGTTAGTCAGGAGGCGGGACTGATAAGTACTCTAGACTGCTCGCAAGTGTTTTGTGCGTCACCGGTCCGGTTGATAACTCACTGTTCTCTAATTGGCCGTATTGTTACCTTATACAATAAAAAGGGCATACAGGTCACAAGTTATAACAATACTAATGTATGATTCCTCACTAAGTGTTCTGTATTTTAACATTATTGTCGTATATAACTCCTATCATATAAGGTGAATATTTTCAAACAATAAGTCTTAGATACAAACATCTTTTGACAGTCAGGTACGCTTTATTTTCCGAAAAAAATTTATATATATACACTCTCATAGATGTCGATTTTTTTTGTTGTCATCCGGAAATTCGTTACAGTAGTCTTGTGATTTAATGAACCAAAATAGATAAATCTTAAAATTTCACACTAAAAAAAAGTAAAGGAAACGTTCATTTTAGAATCAACCAATAAATCATTGTTGTCAAACAAGTTTATTGAGAAAAATTGTGAAAAAAACTGTAATTATGACAAGAATGAAGAAGAAAAATTTAATCGTCTGAAATTTTATGGTAAGATGGACGTTACTTCTGTATTACGAAACTAGTAGCTTATTTTAATGAAAACTTTATTTCACAGATGGAAATCATGAGTCACTTGAAGCTAGACCAACATGGAAAACCTGGAAGAACTGGACGGCCGTCTCGTCCTATTATGGGACTCCTCAGCAGTACGCATCCACGATCCCACACCCACGAGACTCGAACCAAGGACCTATCAGTCTCGCGCCAGGCGCTTAACCAACTGGACCACTGAGCCGGCCGGTATCCAACGGTGTTACTGTCTAACTGATAGGTCCTGGGTTCGAATCTCGCGGAAGCGGGATCTTGGATGCTCACATCTGAGGAGTCCCATACTAGGACGAAACGGCCGTCCAATGCTTCCAGGCTTACCATGGTGGTCTAGCTTCAATTGACTCATGAATTCAATCTGTGAAATTTCTAAAATTTCCACAAACCCCATTTGAAAACTTTATTGTCAATTTTGTTGAAAGATAGAATAGCCTTTTGCCATTTGATGATATTCAATTACACTGGGTTAGTTTAAATAAACATTTAGACAATTTAATTAATGCATTGTCTATTGTAGTGTAATGAATCTGAAAAAAAATGTACGACCTTTTTGAATGATTTGTGTATATACAATGATTTTCATGTAGTTGAATCCACGAGTCCTTCTAAAATAGATCATTACTTAAAATCTAAAAGTACTGGACGTCGGTTTCGTCCTAGTACAGGACTCCTCAGTAGTACGCAACCACGATTCCAAACGATTACTACAAATCCTCATACTTATATAATGATTTTGTAGTTAATTTTAAAATCAAAACATTTTCTTGGTATATTGGTACAATATTAGATCTGTTCGTAAATAGTTTTTGTCTACAATCTCAGCGTTATTTATGAACAATAATTTACACTGACAGGGACAACGTCGAATACCGTCGGTAAATTCGCAAATTACAATAGCGTTTCTTATCTAGTACATCTTTATAACATGATTTACCTGAGCAGTCACATTGAAAAAATGTCAAACTCATAACTTCTTTTTTCTATTTATTTACCGTGGTAACTGAGTTTGAATGATATTTCTACTCTCTAATAACAAAACAAACACTATCTGATCAAATTAAATTATTTCAAGTATTTTCAAAAAATCTTCTCTTTTGAAAAAACAACAAAACAATTCAAGTATTTGTTTGCCAGTATGAATCCTACAAACTATCAAGTCTCAAACGTGACTATTCGAATACTGTAGTGTAGTTCAATCAATGATTATTTGAAATATAACAACCTTCCTTTTCAGTTGAATCAACAAAAAAAACAGCTCATTATGAAAAGTGGAAATCGATAACAAAACATGTTTATTCACATGAAATCAATTTGATCAAATCTTTCAAAATGTTTTGCTTGACAATAAGCCGAAAATCATTACATTACTAGTATTTGACCACATATGCCTTAGAAATATTGCTTGAATCTGCTGGGATCCCCGGGTAAGTAATAGTGAGGTTAGACGTAGGGTATTAGGGAACTATGATAAATCAGTTGATGAGGTTGTGAATCTTCATAGACTGAGATAGTTGGGCCACGTGTTACGTATGCCTAAACACCGATTACCACGACGTACAATGCAAACTAGCGTTGAAGACGATGGAAGAAAGTTTTTGTAGGTCAAACCAAAACGTAGCATCAGTGCCTGATCTCACTAACTTCTGGTCTGAGCCATGCCGGTAGATGGAGACTACTTGTTAGGGGTCCGCGTGACTATCGTAACCAATGGTTGGAGACTCTGGATGACATGGCTCATAATTGATCACATGGCGTAGGTGTATGTACTCTTTGTCTTCTCTTAAACTATGAGATTAAAATCGCTTCATATATTTCTTTCTACGAACTAATTCTTGCTTCCTGTACTATGTCCTTATATGCAGTCTTTCTTTTATATATTACCACCACTGAATTAACTATTTCTATGAATCCGGTGTTCATCTTGTTGTGTTAATGAGGTATGCTAACTTGGACCGATGCATATATATGCCTGGTCCTACGTTGTCGCAGAATGACTGACTGACTGACATCTATAACGATATTTATTTTAAAAAAAGATCACTTACTTGCAGAAATGCTTATCTATTGTCGATCGATACGTTCCTTTGGTCAAGACATAAATTTCAGCAATTTGTACAACTGAATGTAAGAAAAATATTTATTTAGGAAATGAAGTAATCCTTGGAAGGTAATGACAGTTAGTACATAAAAAATCAACTACGGCAAACTTCATTACAAAATATCTTTAGCTAAGATATTTAGTTGTAGTCAATTCGGTTTCATTTTCTTAGCTTATACAATGGATGAACCTAAACTAAACAAGTGTTGAATTAAAATACGGAACAGTGAACAGCTGTTTTTGTCCAAATATGATATTTGTTCAGCATTATGTACCTATGATCTAACAGCAAAACTTACCTAGAATGGTTAAGCTTGTTGTCAAGCTTTTAGCCTTTACACCTGTTATTCATTATGCGTTGGTTCACATCTTCAATTTCAGCCAGTTCATGTAACTGACTAACCAACATCCACTGATGATAATATTTATTTTATATCAGATACATTTAAACTTAAATGATCATAGCCTCTCAGTTACCATTAAGTGTTTGATTAACACGAATGATACAGGTAATTTATGGAAATTACTCATTTTACAATTGACATCATTGACTAACTTTACCTTGATGATTATTGTGAAGCCGGTATGTGTATGTTTTTGCCCTGATTTTAGCTTTTTATACCATGTATATCTACAAAGAGTTTCACACTAAGACTAAACAGTTCCTCAATGTTTCCTCTGATAATGTCTATAACTAATAATAATCACCAACACGTATAAACCATATTCATTTCATCAATTAACTAATCAAAAGTATATCAAGCTTTTCACTATCCAATAATCAATATTAATCGAACAATACACAAATTAATCTATATTTTTGTTATATATCAATGAACCATTCTAACTTTGAGGTTAAACTATCCATTATAAACAGATTCATTGATTATTTATTCTTTCTTTTTAATTTAATGAATTATCAGATTAGTGAAAGGTTTTTCATGTCAGTTTATATTAAGGTCAACAAAAAAACGGCTTATCATTTATGTAACTTCTTATCAATGACCCGATTTCAATGGTTAGAATCATGAGTTAGTTGAAGCTAGACTACCATGGAAAAACCTGGAAGCACTGGACGGCCATTTCGTCCTACTGCAAGACTCCTCAGCAGTGTGCATCCACGACGCCGCCCCCTGCGGGTTTCGAACCCAGGACCTACTGGTTTCGCGGACGAGCACTTAACCATTAGACCACTGAGCCGGCCGGTATCCAACGGTGCTAATGTCTAACTTCAAATAATCCACGAAATTGAGCGGCACATCCACCATTGTCTTCAGTGAGTTACTATCTCACAACAGACCCGGTCGAACTCCACTGGTCGCTACTTCTCACTAGAACTCCGGGATATACCTCTTGAAGCCAGTCACTAGTGATCATATGTTTATTATCAGATGGGTTTTGTGGGTATTATAATAATTTCAATGGTTAAGATCATGAGTCAGTTGAAGCTAGACCACCATGGAAAACCTGGAAGCAGTGGATGGCCGTCCAATTTGATAGATAATATAATACAACTAAACACAACTGAAGGAAAATATGGTATTCACCGATTGACACCCTGTATCCAAGTATATAGTTTATTCTAAAATCAGTCAGTGTTCAAAAAAATTTTTTGAAGCGTAGAATAAGATTTAGGTTTTATAACATCCAATGTAATCTAATAGTTAAATCATCTGATCATCTGATTGGTACCGTATCTAGATCTTCATTCATTACAGATTGAAAACAATTTCCATAAAAAAACTGTGTTTAGTTCATTTTTTTCTTTAAAAATCTAACTGATCAACAAATGAAATCATAGATAATTTCAACAACAACAAAATATTTGGTAAGATAAATGATCACTTTGAATTTATCTTGAAGTGTACATTACTTATATGTAACAGATATAAGTAGTATGTAGCAGGAATTGAAAGTAGAATGTTTATCAGAAGAAGATTGAAATAAAGTGAAGTGGAAGAAAAATGACGATATATATAAAGGATCACTAATGAGAGTTATGCGAATAATGCATTTAATGTACGATATAATGGTACAATGGTTTACCGTACCTAAATCTTTGTTCACTACCGTCCTATCACTTACATGTTGATTAGCTTAATCACTTCATTCATTGATTGGAATTCAGTTTATTTTGTGATTATTATAATTATTTGTTAAACTTATTCCAGTAGAATAATTTACACATCAATCATTTTAAATACTTAAGTCCTGACAGTTTTCGGGTTTTTCCATATCTCTTTGGATTGCTACATCTTTGTTATCAACAAAATGACTACTTCAGTACTTCTGTTGTCTCTTGATAACTTTCGTCAGTCTTCTTAGTTTGTTTATTCTCATAACACCTTCCTTGTGACTACCCACATCATGATCTTTTTTACTGATTTTGTTTATATGCATCAGTTCAATTTATATTGTAGTGAACAAAGATTTAGGTACAGTAAACCATTGTATCATTTTATGTAAAATCAAACAGTGAGCTTATGAAACATGAAAATCATACATTAAATAAATTATTTATATAATTTTCATCAGTTGTCCTTTACCAACTTCATCATTCTTCCAATCTCGTTGTTATTCTCATTGCTCTTCATTTTTCTTCTTCTTCATTATATTTCAGTCTTCTTCTGATAAACATTCTACTTTCAATTTCTGCTACATACTACTTATAACTGTTACGTATAAGTAGTGCATAACTGAGTAAGACAAATTACATTTTTTTCTGAGACTGATCGTATAAATAAGAATCTTACGACACACACAAAAAGTTAAACGAATTAGCATTTGTTGAATAATTTAGTTTTGCTTTAAAAAGTAAATCATCAAAAATAGTAAACTGTAAATAGTAATGTTTAAGAATAAATATGAATTTACTTGCTACTTGTAACTTTCTAACAGGTAATTGACATAAATTATCCAATACTATCGATACACATACAGATTCATCATGATAATACAACTGAAAAAGATAATAAAACAATAAATTTGAACATTGAATGGTATTTTGCCAATGTTTATGCAAGATACATGTTTATATGCGTGTATATAACACTAGATTTTTAATTAAACATGTAATCCCCGTAAATCAGTGGATGAATTAAACATCGATTTTGCATATTTCCAACTAAATCTTTAATAATTATAGTAGCTAAATCCTTTTAATCTTTTACTAGTTGGAATCATGAGTCCATTGAAGTTAGACCATCATGGAAAAACTGGAAGCACTGGACGGCCATTTCGTCCTAGTATGGAACTCTTCAGTAATGCGCGTACACGATCCCGCCCCCCGCGAGATTCAAACCAGGACCTATCAGTCTTTTTCTAAATGAATGAGTTATTAGCATTAAAAGCAATGAACCTAATTGTTCATGGCAAATTATATCAATATCTGTTTAATAATTAGTTACAAAAACTGGGCTGGACAGTGATTGCTGTGATTCATTTTTTTATTATTTCTTTGAATCTTCCCATTGATGTTTAAGACTGTAATTGAACAGTCTGTTATTGGCATATGTGCATCTAGTGCGGATTGCACGATATTGCCTTAATTTACAAGTATTCTAACCATAGATGGATAGTGGCCATCTAGACTCAGTAGCTTAGTGGATAACGTGATAGCATTGTGGAATTGTGGAGTGAACATCAAGTCTGAGATACAGGTTCATCCGGCTGACGATTCTCAAATATGATGAAACGTGAGTCGCGGATTTCACTACTGGCCGCAATCCGTCTTTAAATATTACGATGTTATTTCTCTGAAATTACTGTTGGACATACCTTACAATTCATATTATTTAAACAAATGTATTATATCATTTCATGCTTATTATACAACGGATGACGTATCTAAATAATTAAATTTCCACTATAAAAAACTTCTAAACCTCTTTATGATAGAATTAATTTATAAATGACTAGTTTAGAAGAGGTCTTAAACTACATTGACACAAGGTAGATAAATATATTTGCATTTAACAGTTTAGGGGTTGTGGAGATTGTTAAGTTTTTGATTGAAATCATGAGTCGATTGAAACTAGACCACCATAAAAAACCTGGGGGCACTGGACGGCCGTTTTGTCCTAGTATGGGACTCCTCAGCAATGAGCATCAACGATCCTGCACCCCGCGAGATTCGAACCCAGGACCTATCAGTCTCGCGCCAGGCGCATTTATTTAAGTTACTGTACTACATCAAAACAATCTGAGCATAGAGAGCATAGAGAATCTAGCTCTAGAAGAGTAAAGGAATTGGCCGAAATAAAGGTATCACTAAATTTTGTAACACAGACATAGACTTTCAAAAACACAGTACCACTCTTGTTTGAAACTAAAAAGCAGTTCGCTACAATGAATTCACAAATAAAATTAAACAAACAAATTTTTAGTTCGTCACAACCTTTAGAACTTCAGTAGAAGTCTATTGATCAATATTTTTCAATTCTAGTTAGTTTGGATATTACATAATTTCGCTTCAATGTAATAGGTGAGTTCTTGTCTTGATCCAGATAAGAGTTATATTCTACCAATCATGAATTTGACTTGGATATTTGGAAATCTATTATCAGACTTGTAAATGATGAGTAAAAAGTTATGATTTGATCATATGATTTCTATATATTATTCTACATAGTTTTCAAATTTTTTTTCATGACAAAATAACATCATTAAGGATGTCTGACTACTTTGTAAATGATTGGAAGCTGAGAAAAGTATACATTAGTTACTGACTAAGTGGTAAAAAGTCATTGATTTGGTATCTAAACTACTTTGATATCTAATTTATAAACCATTCCATGTATGAAACATGTTCTTACATAAAAGCTTCTTGTAAAAGTTGACTATTTCAACTATGGTTAATACTATCAAACTAAAAATATAGTGAGTGGACACTTTACAATGTTATATATGATGGTAAACTATTATGTTATAAGCAGAGATGGATAGTGGCTAGAAGTGGGATTCTGGACGCGCGTTTCGTCCTATTCAGGTTTCGTCAGCCGGATGTATCTGCATCTCAGAGTTGATGTTCACTCTGGGACTCGAACCTAGTACCATTCGCTTCAAACGCCACCACGTTATCCACTCAGCTACTGAGTCCTGGCAGCCACTTGCTTGTGCAATGGGGTGAATTTAAATTCACTTGGTATTGTTTTGCTTGTATCTTCCCATTGAGTTTTAAGATTACAATCGATCAGTCTGTTATTGGTATATGTGAATACTGTGCGTATGCCTCGATATTGCCTTAATTCACAAGCTTCGTCCTATTTGGGACTCGTCAGCTCGATGTACCTGCGTCTCAGAGGACGTCTCATAGGATTCCACTGCTAGCTACTATCCATCTTTACTTGTAAAGGCTTGTGAATTAAGACAATATCGAGGCATACACACAGTATGTACATATGCCAATAACAGACTGATCAATTGTAGTGTTAAACCTCAATGGGAAGATACAAGCAAAACAGTAACAAGTTGATTATGTTATAATTCTATATCTTACTAAGTAATCATTGGTGCAAAGAGAAAAAATATGTATAAGTAATAGTGTATAAGCGTTTCTTTATGTGAAAAAACAGGTATATACTAAGAATTCATTCAAAAATCACCAATATATAGACTTTTAATATCAAATGTTCATTCACGATAATATACATGACTATGTTGAGTAATCGGCGTGACAGTGTGTAGTTATATATTTCTCACTGTATGCTCCATTGAATATGTTCTTTAATTCGAAACTCATCAATCTACTATTTCTTAAAGATGTTTACATATTTAAAATATGTGACAGTTATGCTTTAAAGAAGTGTATCTCATTTACAATTGAATGAGATTGTAGAAATTAGTGAATACTAACATGTAGTTATAAAAAATATCCGTATTCGATAAAAAAAAACTACAGTTTACTAATCCAGTAACGCTATGTGTAAACTAACAAATGTTCTGATAAACCAGATGTTATATAACTAAAGATGGAAAAACAAAGGAAGAAAATTTTAAAAAAAATTTAATGATCAACTAATGATAAATTCATGACGAAAAACTCTTAGTGCCACCCAGTGAAATGTATTGAATATAGCAACTGTTTATATAATCTCGTTATTCATTCTTTAGGCTAAAAAATAAATCTATATCTGACAATATATCTTGTCAAGAATCAACTTTTCATATTACCAAATATGACATATACAATTTGAAATGGATAATGTTTTGTACTCATAACAAAAACACTTGGCTCAATTCACTGAATTCGTTGCTGGGCGTTTTTAAATTCATTTAGTTTGTGATACTGCCTCAAAATTAAATGATTTTATCGATAACCTATACTGATAATTACCATGTACTCACTAGTGACTAGCTTAGTGAGGGAATCCTTGGAGTTCTAGTGAGAAGTCGTGACTAGTGGAGCTAATCCGTCTAGGGTAAAGACAGGTATTTACGTTGGTATAATGGAAAATGGTCGCGCAATTTCGTGGATTGCTTGAGGTTAGATATTAACATCATTAGATGCCGGGTCAGTGGTCTAGTAGGTTAAGCGTTGGCGCGTGATGCTGAAAACCCTGGGTTCGAATCCTGCGAGCGGGATCATGGATGCGCACTGCTGAGGAGTCTCACATTAGGACGAAACGGCCGCCCAATGCTTTCAGATTTTCCGTGGTGGTCTAGCTTCGAATGACTCATGATCTCATCATCAATCGATTCATGGTCTTATTCATAAAATATCATTTTCGGCTGTATTCTAATATAAAAGTATAATTCCTAGTTGGATATATGGCAGTTTCAAACATTTTTCAGAATAAATTAGTAGTATGGAGTTTATCATCGGTTTTGACACTTAAAACTAATAGAGTTATTTGCCTGCTTTTTTTCTTGAGCGAATAAACACCAATCAGTCCTACAGGAGGTTGGTCGCAGCCCGGATGTAAAATTACAAAACACTACCTAGTTTTCAGATTGTTTCAAAACATTTCAAGTTGATTATAAGATCATATTAGTTTTGTAATAGATATCCGGTAAGCAGTAACCAGATTTGAGATGAACTTATCGTCTTGTAGATTCGAATAAGTATCAATTGAATTTGTTGTTTGTAGTCAACATTGGATAAGGATTAGGCTAATTAACTGACTGAGGTTGAATAAACAGAATACAACTAGATAGTTTAATAGTATCACAAGTCTTTGACAATTTAGAATTTCAAGCTATATGTAGTATACTATTATTGAAAATGTAATTCAGCCATTGAGCATTGATAACGTGTCAATAATTGTCTTATATAAATCATTACAATGACTATCTTTATGAAGTCTTTAGTATGAATTGTGTATAAGCCCGATTTCTTCATTACGCATAAATATTAAATAATCATTTGTCTACGCAACAGTAAACACAATTTATTCAATTCGTAAATATTATTATTTTATTGATTGAACTCACGGGTCAATCTAAGTTAGACTACCAACGAAAATCTTGAAGCAATGGATAAGCGTTTCATCTTAGTATGGAACGTTTACAATCCCGAAAGTGAAATACAAACCAAGAGCTTTTAGTCTCCTATGCGAATGCCTAGCCTTTAAACCACTGAGTTCGAGTACCGTCATTGAGATAGTGGTTGTTCGCTGCTGTAGAATCCTATACTAGGACGAAACGGCTATCCAGCTTTTTAAACTATTCAATGGTTGTCTAACTTAAATTGACTCATAAATTCAACTCATGAAAATACTACAATCACCACAAATGTCTATATTGCAAAATATTCATATTTTAATAAGATTATAACAAGAAAAGAAATACTGTTAATCAAAATTACCGGTTTTTCAATAGACGCTTGAATAAATAATTCACCATTATGACATGGTAAATTAATAGATTTTTTAATCGATTCAATAATAGGTTCTAAAGGACGATGTGTTATTTTTGGTCCAGCAGTCAATTTTCTTAAAACAATTGTTACTGTTGAACTAAAGTAAAGAGAAAACAAAATGACTATTCTTTATTCAATAAGTTAAATGTTTATCGAAATATTATTAATTATCAGAAGCGGTTTGTGGAGATTTTAGAAATTTCACAGATTGAATTCATGAGTCAATTGAAGCTAGACCATCGTGGAAAACCTGAAAGCACTGGACAGCCATTTTGTCCTAGTATGGGACTCCTGAGTAGTGCGCATCCACGATCCCGCATCCCGTGAGGTTCGAACCCAGGATCCATACTAGAACGAAACGGCCGTCCAGTGCTTCCAGGTTTTCCATGGTGGTCTAGTTTCAATTGACTCATGATGTCAATCTGTGACATTATTATTTATCATAGAAATAATGTTCAACTGTGTTTGATCTATCTGTAGTCTTAGTTTGATATATATTAGCCTAAATGTTTGAAATAATTGGTACTATGGTATTGTAAAATAGTTCGAAAGCAAAGTTTCAATGGATCATTGCGTCATAAAATAACCAGTGAAAAAATTTAAAATATATTATATTACAGTTATTGGATTCAACTCAATCATGCATCGATGTATTGTTCAAAAGAGCTTAGAAAATAAACAACTTGTTTCTTACATCCAATTTTAATAGATAATAAAACTAAATTAACCCTTTCTGATATTGATCAACATATGCTCACTGGTGAATGACTTCAAAAGATATTTCATAGAGTTCTAGTGAGAAGTAGTAACCAGTGGAGTTCAGTCGGGTCCATTGTGGGGTAGTAATTCACTGAGGACAGTGATGGACGGTGGCTCAATTCCGTGGATTAGTTGAAGTTAGACATAAACACCGTTGGATGCCGACTCAGTGGTCTAAAAGTTAAGCGTTCGCGCTCGAGACCCATAAGTCCTGGGTCCGAATCTCGCAAGGCGGGATCGTGAATATGCACTGCTGAGGAGTCTCACAATAAAACGAAACGGCCGTCCAGTGCTTCCTAGTTCCCCACGGTGGTCTAGTTTTCATTGACTCATGATCTCAACCACTGAAGTTATTGTTTTTTAAAGGGGTAAATCAAAAATTTTAAAAAATACAAACACACATATATATTGAATGTTGACAAATTTCATTGAATTAACAAACAGTGGCTTATTTCTGATAAGTTAAACAGTTGATCACAGTAGACGTAAAACTGTTGAATTATTAAACCCTCATCTTCAGACTGTTATAATTGATAGAATGATTCATGTGTTTTAGATGATATAACATAAGCTTGAATTCAGGCTTGACTATCGTAACTTGTAAAGTTATGAATATTTCACGGAATATATATGTTACAATTACTTTTAAATGTTTTAGCAGGTTCAAGGTATGTTTCAGATCATTTTAATCAAAATCATACATTCATTATTATTAGGCAGGCAAATATCGTCAGAATAAGTTGCTTTGTGAAGCCTTTCAAATTTTTTAACAAAAGGATACTGAATACATAGGTAGTAAACTGATTCTCTGAATGGTGGTTTTTCAAGGTCATTTGCAAAACAAATAGTTCATTCATAGTGTTTTTTATTGTAGAAGAAAGAATAGTGTACGTATACAAGTCATTCATGAGATTTCCAAAAGTATTTTAAAAATAGGAATAATGGCGAGACTATAATTTATGGATGAACCAATCACGTATAAGATAACAGGTAACGGATTTTGGCACGAAATTCACTCGTCCATTTGGCTTAATAGAGTTTTGGCATTATCCCTGATGTTAGTTCGTGATTAAAACACTATATCTAATTCCTAATCATAATTCCCCACACTAATTTATAACCCTCATTTGATCCTGTTTATTAAGTGGACACTCTCAAAGTCAGTCTAGCATCGCTAAAAAGGTCATCCATAAATTACACTCTCATCGGAATAATTTGTCTGTGAATAAAGATTGATTTACTGATTAATAAAAACAATCATTGAAACGTATCTAACAGTAAAATTCTTGTTTTTGAATGTATCTAACATTACAAATTCGCAAACGGTCATAAAGGTATATTACTGAGGAAAACACAGATTGAAAGTATTTTAAAAACAAAAGATGGTAAATTATCAACGATAGATCAATTCGAGAAGAACTACAACAATTATCATTGAGAATGGTTGTAATAGATATTTAGTACTGAATAGAAATGGAATGATTATTATTGTATAATTCGGTAAGAGCATCTATGTAGTTTACTTTAAAGACGACGAGTACATTCGACTGAATCCATCGAACCGCTTACAGAACTCTTTTTCTTTAGTGCTCATTTAATTTGGTGACAAGGTCATTTTATATTATTTGATTTAAAATAGTTTTAGTATTGCAAATGATTAACTTACTATAAGTCACTGAATATAATGGTGTGTTACAGTGTACATTGTAACCTGAATAGAATAATTTAGACAAGATTTTAATGAATAAATCATGAACCGGTCTATACTATTACAGAAGAAGTATATATTTGTGAAATCTCAGCGAATGAATCTGGATTAAATCTAAAGTTTCACCTAGCAATCTGATCCAAGCTTTTTCAAGGAAATTTAATCAAGCATCAAAATTATGCTTTATTAAATTTCTTTGAAAATAACTTGGACCAGATTATTAGGCGAAATGTTGGATTTATTTCAAATTCATTCTCTGAAGTTTTACAAATACATTCTTCTTGTTTAATGTCTCACATAAACTCGGCACCCAAATACTGTGAAATTATTCGATCGAATTTAGACTAAATTTCTTATATACGGTTCATACTATTTTCCAATAAATTATATGTAGTGAAAATATGTGGAAATCAATAAAAAGAACTGAAACAAACTAAACCGACACTAATTTTACAAACAACCCATCTATATGATGGTAATTAGAATCCAGGCTAGCAGTGATATTTTCAACAAACTTTTTATCAAAAATTCTATGTAACTACATATCCTAACAGTAGTATTATCCATTAAGTATCGTTTTTAATGTAATCGTATGAATTAGTAAAACATATTAGTAAAACATATTTCATTAGTAAAACATATTTCAATAGTTGAGATCATGAGTCAAATGAAGGTAGACTACCATGGAAAACACGAAAGCACTGTACAGCCGTTTCGTTCCATTGTGAGACTCCTCGATAGTGAGCATCCATGACCCCATTTCGTGTGATCCGAACCCTATAGGTTTCGCTCAAGTGAACGCTTAACCTCTAGACCACTGTTCATTTAATCGAATCTCCTTGTACATTAGGATGACATCATCTGAAAATACATTTTTTTCTATGAAGAACTACACAATATTCTTATATCTTTTCAGTTAATGATTCTTAAAGTTTTCCAAAGAATATTTCGTCCAGTGCTTCCAGGTTTTCAATGATGGTCTAGCTTCAACTGACTCATGATTTCAGTCTGTGAAGATTTTTATTTTGTCAGACTTATTTTGAAGTTATTTGATTACATAATTTAATTTGCTTAACAGTAACACTGTTGTGTATTGTCAGTAAAATCTAAACTCCGACAGTGTAAATTACATTGTAAGTGATCGTATAAACATGTGTAACTATTAATAGTCGTGCAATTTTGTTTTAGACATATTATATTCAACGAGAACACAAAAGGTGGGACAACCAATATACAAAACCCCCTAGTAAGATCTGACCACTATATAATAAATACTTTCATTTGCATAATATCCATCAATTGTCTCAGACTTTGTTGTTCTTGTGTTACCATACCAAATAACCTCTGTTCACGTTCTCTTCTCTTCCATCATTTTAACGTTGTGCCGCTAAGGATTCCACTTTCGATTGGTGATACATACTACTTATATCTATCGACATCAATAGCACACACCACAGTATATGCAAACTGACGTTATAGACATTTTATATATCTTTAATTTTAACTGATAAAATAAATGGTATATTTTAGTGAAGGCTAATTACTTTATAACTTTTTTCGTTTAGAAGTCTGGTTATCGTATATTCCATGATTAGCGATAGAAAAATATTAGACAATTCTTTTTTGTCATAAATTCACTCGTTACATATAGATAGACTTGAAGGAACATGACAAAACATTCTTAGTATCATTTGAATCTTGACTGGTTACATTTGTATTCAACCGTATTACACCTTAAGTAAAAGAAGTAATTAGGCGAATAATGAGTTTACAGTAATGAAAGTCTGTCAGTAATATATAGTAAAATGAAGATGGCTAAAATTATTTCCTATTGTCAGTAGACTAGTAAAAACAATAGCTATGTGGATAACGTGATGACGTTTGAAGTGTATGGTACTGGCTTCGAATCGTGGAATGCATATCAAAACGCACATCCTGCATTCCACTGCTAGTTATCATCCATCTTTGCTTAGAAAGCTTGTGACTTAAGACAATATAAAAACAATCCGAACAGGACGTACATATACCAATCAGAAACTGATCATTTTCAATCCTAAACATCACTGGAAAATTTCAAACAAACATTACTAGTTGAATTCAATCTACGTTTTGTTATAAAATATAATATTGAGAATTTATTTTCTAGGGTGAAAATAATAATAGAATTTTAGATATCAAACATAACTTACCTTGCTGGTTGATTGTCATCAATTCGTTTACCAATAAATGCGGTCAGTTCATAATTAATACCATACGGCTAATAATAAATAAAATAAAATTGTGTATATTAAATATTTTTTTTACTTAGTAATATGATATAATTTGGTGAGACTATAGTTTGAGCGACATTAGACTGACCTAAAGAGTGTCCACCTGATAAATAGGACAAAATGAGAGTTAGTGTGAGGAATTCGAATTATGATTTAAAGTTGATAGTTAATGTTAGGAATTAGATTTAGTGTTTTAATCACGAACTAACATCAGGGATAATGCCAAAACTCTATTAAGCCAAATGGACGAGTGAATTTCGTGCCGAAATCCGTTACCTGTTATCTTATACGATTGATAAGTTGTATACAAGTTAGTGATTATTTTGTTAAAAATATATAGTGTATGATTTATATTCAAATAGAATTTCTATCGGTGGACTCTAGCTGACTATATAAGTTTTCGATTTTATTAGGAGTTAGTTACATACTTACTCACACCTGTTACTCCCAATGGAGCATAGGACGCCGACCAGTATTCTCCATCTCACTCTGTCCTGGGCCCTCCTTTCCATTTCTATCCAATTTTTGTTCATTCTTCTGATATCTGTCTCCATTTCTCAACGTATTGTGTTCTTTGGTCTTCCTCTTCTCTTTTGGCATTGACGATTCCATGTGAGGGCTTGTCTTGTGACCCAGTTGGGTGCTTTCTTCAATGTGTGTCCTATCCATTTTCATCGCTTCTTCCTGATTTCTTCCTCCGCTGGAATGTGGTTTGTTCTCTCCCACAGTAGATTGTTGTTGATAGTGTCTGGCCAACAGATCTGAAATATTTTGGGTAGACAACTGTTAATAAACACTTGTATCTTCTGGATGATGACTTTCGTAGTTCTCCAAGTTTCCGCTTCATACAGTAGAACTGTCTTGACATTCGTATTGAAAATTCTGACCTTGGTGTTGGTCGACTTTTGGTTTGAGTTCCAGATGTTCTTCAATTGTAAATATGCTACTCTTGCTTTGCCGATTCGTGTCTTCACATCTGCATCAGATCCACCGTGTTCATCAGTGATGTTGCTCAGATATGTAAGAGTTTTTACATTTTCCAAATCTTTGTCAAGTGTGATTCGATTGTTGGATGTTGTGTTTCATCGAAATACCTTGCTTTTCCCTTTGTGTATGTTGAGACCTACTGCTGCTGAGGCTGCGGCTACATTGGTCGTCTTCTGGATTTGATGTTGTGTGTGCGATAGAAGAGCCAAATCATCTGAGAAGTCTAAATCCTCCAGCTGCATCCTATCTGTCCACTGTATCACATTCTTCCCCCCAGATGTTGACGTCTTCATGATCCAGTCGATCACCAGAAGAAAGAGAAAATGTGATAGTAAGCAACCTTGTCTAACACCGGTCTTTACCTCAAACGAGTCTGTCAATTGTCCTCTTTATTAGGAGTAATAAATCAAAAACCTAGAAAGAAAACTTTTGCATGATATTTAATAAGGAACCTGTAATATCTATAAGATACCAAATATTTGTTTTCCCTCTTTTAACATCCTAAATGTTTGAGTGATATACATCATGGAAAAAAATCCTTACTGTTTAATTAATTAACTGTGACATGTGAAGATTTTAAAAAAATGTTGAAGTAAGCTAGCTGTTATACATTGAGTGTAATTCCTCAATCAAGGGCCTTTTTTGGTAAATCCTCAAATATATCTTAAATGATATATTTTTCATGATCAAATAATAAATGTATAGTACTTCTTGACATTGAATGGTACTTCAATTTTTTTTTGTGATCAGCTCATAAAAATCATCTATAAGAAATCAAGGAAACTATCAAAGTAAATGTGAAGTACTTTAAAGATTAAATAAGGACTATTTGTCAAAAAAATATATATCATGATTTATTATTGACTGTACCGATGAACGATATTATAATTAGCTTAAATTATAAAGCTGAAAACTGGATTGTATCATACACATCCTGTAAATAATAGAACAACATATATAAGCAAAAACTTGTTTTCAATTAGATCGTCATTAGGCTTTATTCTAATATACATGAATATTTATACGAAAATATTAAACCAATCAAGGCAATATATGGGTCAATAATCACAATGAAATAGAATAAGTCACCACATATAATAGGTAAAAGTATAAGTTGATAGTAAGAAGACAAATGTACTGTTAGTAGTAAGAATAATAAAATACGATAACAAAAGTCTTATCAATAGTTAAACGTTGGAAATAGAAGGTCAAACATGGGTAAATAGACTTGGAATAGTCAACACAAAACATTAAAATCATTACGTAATAAGATGTGTGTAAATAATTAGATAGTGAAGAATACAAAAGGAAAGAGGCGAAAAATTACAAACAAATACTAGATGTGAAAATAAGGCTAATGATAACAAAAATAAAATAAAACGAATAATAATAATTTTTTAAAATCGTTAGTTAAGTTATAACTGACCATGGGAGGGATAGGGGGGTTACGAATTTCTTCTGTATACATAAATTGGGGTTATATGTACAAATTCCTATGGCTTCAGCTATATGTAGAAGGCGGGAACGAACTCCGTTGGGAAATGATGAAGGTATACGATAGATCACTCGAAATGATTTCGACTTATCTACAGCATGACCGCTATCAATGTGATATGCCAAGATATACATAATAGTATTTATACAATATCATTTAATGCCTATATTGTTGTATAGTAATCAACAGGATTGACTAATACCTTTGTTATAAGAATATATACAGTAAATAATGAAACAAGTCAATAATTAAGCTTGAAATATATATATATATATATATATATATATATATATATATATATATATATATATATATATATATATATAGTAAATTATATTCATATTAAGATGTTAAAAAAAACACAAGTTGAATGAAGAAATATTCTTCTTCAATTAGTTCCTTATCAAAACTCTAAATTAATTCAGAATTTCATTCATTTAATGTTTCCTTGTTAGGTCTATAGATATTACTTAATTGATTAGTGATATGAATTCGTTACAAACTTTCTCAATATATTTATTCAGCTTTAATTTAGAATATCATCTTATGTAATTTGTCATTCTTCTTAATAATATAATAGTTTAGTTTTTATGACATTCATTTTATTAATTACATATTATTACTACTAGAAAAAATATGGATATTGGATTACTTATCATCAAACTTAGTCAATCCATTATATGTGAAAATTATATTTGAAATAATCTCAGCGATTGAGATTTAAATAATTTCAACGTTTCGTCCAGCTAAGTTGTCTGGACTTCTTCAGGGTAATATTCAAAATCAAAATCATCAAAGAAATATATAAATTCTATTTACTTGGCGCACGATTTCTGTCAAGCTATTCGTTCTAATCTTGACGAATATTTGTATAAATTAGTGAATTCATGTTGTTATGTAATGAATCTTTTATAATTAACCAATTATATAATATTGTTTTTAGACCGAATTTCACATTAGATGAACTTCTAAATGATTTTAGAGGAAAGATTGTAAATTTAATAGTTGAATTCATGAGTCAATTGAAGCTTAATCAACATGCAAAACCTGGAAGCACAGGATGGTCATTTCGTTTTATTGTAGGACTCCTCAGTATTGCACATCCAAGATCCTACACGAGGGGTTCGAATAGATCATGGAGGCTCACTCTTAAGAAGATTCATACCAGTATGAAACAACTGTTGAAATTACTACAAACTTCACAAAAACCCTCCTGATACTAGTCAACATATGCTCACTGGTGAATGGCTTGAAGATGTATATAGTGGAGTTCTAGTGAGAAGTAGTGACCAGTGGAGTTCAACAGGGTCAGTTGTGAGATAGGGACTCTTTGATAGCAATGGTGGATGTGTCGCTCAATTTCGTGGATTAGTTGAAGTTAGACATTAACACCGTTGGATGCCGGCTGTCTCAATGGTTTAGTTGGTTAAGCGGCTGGCGTGAGACTGATAGGTCCTGAGTTCGGATCCCGCGAGGTGGGGTCCTGGATGGACACTGCTGAAGATTCCCACAATGAGACGAAATGGCCGTCCAGTGCTTCCAGGTTTTCCATAGTGGTCTAGCTTCAATTGGCTCATGATCTTAATTGTTGATATTAAATTAATATAATATCCACAAAAACCCTTTTCTGATTAAAATATCATAAAGTTGACGAAGTATCATTTATTCAGTGTTAATTTTATTCTTAACTGCAAAACAGATTACTTTATAGATTTGATGAGAAATGTATTAAAGAGATAATAATTTTTTCGTCCAACTTATGGTTTTAATTGCATTCTTATAGAATTTATTCATCATACATAAGAGACATTGATTAAAACAATAAAATTTGAATAACTTCTAATATTCCTATTAATTTTGCGGAAAGATAAAAACTGGTTCAAATCTTCCCAATATGGATGTTAATGACTGTGATTAATCAGTCCCCAACTGGAATATGTTTATTCTGTACTAATTACCTGGATATTGTCATTTAGGTAGAGGTATGTTTATTCAAATTCTAGATTCCATTGCTAAATACCACTACACTTTAATGAAAATATTTATTACGGATTGATAAAATCATGACAATAGGCTGAAAATAAACAAAAACACCAGTAGAGACTGATTCATAGTAGTCCTAATTCATCAACAACAGGAAGACTCAACCACACAGAGTTAATATATATATCCTATTTGAACAAACGAATATCTATATGAACTCAGCAACCCAATAACTAACGCGCTGAGAGTTCAGATCAAGTCCCGAAGAGTACATCAATACAAAGATATAAATAACACTTTAAATATTCATGTGTACACTTTATATATTGATTATATATCATGGTTGTATAATTCAATTTCCATTATAATTATTAAAATAACTAATTAAAGCATATGGATGAATCTAGTTTAGACAAAATATAATTAAATCTATGATAATGAGAGATTTATACAAACAAAGGGATTACATTATTACTTTTTATTTTTCTTAACTCTTAATTATCTTTACTTCATACACACACACACACACACAAAATAGTCAATAACGGAAAGAAAAACAACATAGTGATTCTTAATGAATTTTATTATGTTTAGATAAATAATAATGTAATTTCATACACAGTTCCCTTTATCATTTTGAAAAGAGCAAGATCAATGATTCTAGCAGAATAGCATGAATTCATTCTTATTTCGTAGGTTCTCGTCAGCTGCTTACAACCTGTGATATTTAAAGTTACAATTACATGATGGGTTTAAATTACTTACATGAAAGAGTTTCGTTGGAAGTTATATTGAAGACATATTTGTATAGTATAGTAAGGGTGTTAATAAATTGGATAGACTGAATATCGTAAATATATTCTTTACATGAAAGAACATTCTACAACCGTGATTGTGACAACAGTTCAAGCGGCTAGAAACAAGTGATTACATAATGTGAGTAAACATTGATAGGAATATAGGGAGTAGAGCTCAGTTGATGAAATAAGATTATTAATTTGAAAGATAGTTGAAATAAAACACACTGATGTAATAATGCAGGAAAGAGTTTAAAGAAGAAAAAAAATTATCAGAACAAGAAGAAGAAAGACTAAGCATTGCAATCATCAAATATCTCCTTGATACAGGATATCAGGTAGATACCTTGAAATCTTTTGAGGTGATTAGTGAACAACCAATCTCCAGTCTTCTGACGCCGTTGCTATTAAACGCCGAAAACCTGACTTATGTGTTCAAAAAGAGATGGTTATTAATCTTTCCTCGTCTTGGTGACTAATATTCCTTCGCTGCATCTTAAAAATCCTCTCATGTAAGTAATTTAAACCCATTATGTAATTATGATTTTTAAATATCACATGCTGTAAGCAGCTGACAAGAACCTACGAAATAAGAATGAATTCATGCTATTCTACTACAATATTTGTTCTTTCTTTATTCAAAATCATGTAATTATTTAATGAAGTGGATTACAGATATAAAACAGGTATATGTATTAATCCTATACTGTTATTTTTTCTTAAAAAAGAAAAAAAATCTTGAGGTCAATAATTTTCACGTACGAAAACGAAAACCACTAAAAGAAAATAGAAAAAAAATGCCTAACCAGTTATGTAACAAGTAGGATTAGGGAAAAAAATGACATACCTCAGCAATCTACTTATTATTTTTTTAAGTATTATTCTGCTAATCCAATTTCGTTACTCAAACTTCAATAATAATGATAATAATAATAATAATGTAAGGTTCTAACATATTTCAATGGTTAAGATCATCAGTCAGTTGAAGTGCGAAACCAGTAGGTCCAGGGTTCGAATCTCGCAAGGGGTGAGGACGTGGATGCGAATGCCCGAATGCCCTGGTACGGCCGAGAGTGGGGTGAGTCCGCTCTCCCTCTCGAAATACTCTCACACGGCCACGCGTATACAGCCTCTGCCAGGGAAGTCCTACTCATTGCCTTCTCGTGGCGGGGGTGTTGTTTACGAAAATGAGAGGACGAAAAGCGAATGTCCGGCGCTTTAACCGGATTCCAAACCAATGGTGCACATGGGCTCCAGTATCCTGCGGGAACGAATGGCGTATGAACCAATCGTTGGTCACCGGCTACCATGGGACTGCATCTCCTTACGATGCTCCACTGCCTTGTGGGTTAGACCTTTAGGTCAAAGGCTCGGGGAGTGGCCCCCTAAGATAACCACCTGCTTCGGTTTGGGCACCCGGGCAGTATCACAGCCCACACACAAATGATGAACTCTTTATGTCTATGGAAATTACTTTTGTCGCTTTGAAAAACAAACAATTGATTCAGATTATTATCATTACAATTATTGTCATTATTAATACTAATATTATTATTACTACTATTATTGTCATTATTGTTATTATTATCATTATTATTATTTTCCACATTATTCACCCTCTTTTATACTTATACAGCGGCTCGTCTTTGGTGGAAATCCGACTGTATCTAAACGTTCTCGAGTCACTGTCCGGTTGAAAATTGTATGTTACCACCGAATACGAGGACTGAAGCAGATTTTCTGAAACCACGTGCACCATTCAAACTGGCTGCCTTCAACGTTCGCACATTTATGCAGGTCGGACAACAGATAGGGCTGGCTATGTCTTTGGAAAGTCTTAATATCGATGTTTGTTGTCTATCCGAGACCCGTATTCAAGACTCTGGCGAAGTACTACAAATTCGATCTCCATCTGTCGCTTCGAAAAGCTTGTTTTACGTGCGCTTATCCGGGGACCCTGTGGCATCTTCGTCTGGTCTTGCTGGCGTTGGTGTCGCACTAAGCGCTAGAGCTGAGGCAGCACTAGTCGATTGGATCCCCATTAACAGTCGGTTATGTGCTGTTAGATTAGAAAGTTCCATCAAAGTGAGAAGAAATCGGCGTGAGAAACGATGTCTTTTCGTCATCTCCGCCTATGCCCCGACAGATTGCAGCCCGGATGCAATCAAGGATGAGTTTTACCACCAGTTATCAGTTCTTCTCCAGAAAGTGCGTTCGACAGATATTGTAGTACTAGCCGGAGACTTGAATGCTCAGGTCGGGCGTCTAGGCACAGAAGAGAGTCGTTTAGGTGGCCGATGGGGACTCGTTGGTCGCAGGTCAGATAACGGGGACCGTCTACTGCAACTTTGCACAGACCACAACCTGTTTCTGGCTAGCACTAACTTTCGGCACAGTCATCGCCGATGTGCCACCTGGCGTCCTCCCTCTGCATCTCAAGCCTGGACTCAGATTGATCACATCGCGATCAGCTACCGCTGGCGTGGTTGTGTAAAAGACTGCCGCTCCTTTTGGAGTACCTATCTGGACTCTGACCATGCCTTGGTCTGCGCCAATCTTGCCTTACTTTTCAGTGGACAACGAAGTGACCGCCATCAACGGATTGATGTTAGCAAGCTGGTTGCAACTTCTGTTGCAAGTAAGTATCGAACCGAGCTAGCCTCTAGGCTAGCTACCACTCCACCGAAAAGTATAGATGAGCATTGGTTGCAATTGCATGACGCCATGAAAATGGCGGGAACAGTCAGTTGTGGGTTTGCGAAACGTCCCGCTTTTAAGCACTGGGTTTCTTCTGGTTCCTTACAACTCATTGAAGCCCGTCGGTCTACTCCGGGTGACCGTGAGTTTGACCATAAACGAAGGATGTTACGTAAGGAAATTGGGCAAAGCTTGCGTAAGGACCGAGAAGCCTGGTGGTCGATGCGTGCTAATGAGCTGGAAGCAGCAGCTGCATCTGGTAACTACCGGAAGCTCTTCCAGCTCATCCGAGCCACTGGCAGCAAGAAGTCTGGTGTGAGTGAAACAATCTGCGAGGATGATGGGATGCCAATCACTAACATCCATCGACGTCTTGGACGATGGGCAGAATTTTTCGAAGGGCAGTTCAACTGGCCTGCTGCTCCGGCAACATCGGTCAGACTGTCCTGCCCTCCATGGCCGGTGACGACTGATCCACCAAACGAGGAGGAAGTCCGCAAGGAACTCCAACTCTTGAAGCGTTACAAATCACCTGGCCCAGATGACTTACCTCCGGCTCTTTTTAAAGATGGTGGTGACTTTTTGACTAAGGAATTGACGACGTTGTTTACAAAGGTTTGGGAACTAGAGAGTGTACCAACGTCATGGAATGAGTCGATAGTTGTCCCTATCTTTAAAAAGGGTTCACGTCGTTCCTGTAACAACTATCGGGGGATAAGTTTACTTCCGATTGCGTCCAAGCTATTGGCTTCCGTCATTCTTCGTAGGTTGTTCAAAACCCGAGAAAGATTGACTCGCGAGGAGCAGGCTGGGTTTCGTTCTGGTCGAGGATGTATTGATCATATCTTCACCCTCCGCCAAATGTTAGAACACCGCCATACTTTCAAAGGCCAACAATCGTAGTGTTTCTTGACATCAGGGCTGCCTTCGATTCGTTGGACAGGACTGTTCTCTGGGATTGTCTATTGAAGAAGGGTGTGCCTGAGAAGTTTATTAACATCCTAAAAGCCCTATATAAAAACACCTCAGGCAGAGTGAGGGCATACAACCACCTCTCTCCATTGTTCCATTCGAGCAGTGGGGTTAGGCAGGGTTGCCCAATCTCACCATTCCTCTTCAACTTTGCCATCGATGACATTCTGGAAACAGCTCTGATGAATGTAAGTAATGGTGGTGTGGATCTGTTGCCTGGAGAAAGACTTCTCGACCTTGAGTATGCGGACGATATTGTCTTACTGTGCGATAATGCCCAAGGCATGCAATCCGCACTTAATCAGTTGGCAATCAGTGTCCGTAGGTATGGTATGTGCTTTGCACCTTCGAAGTGCAAAGTACTTCTACAAGACTGGCAGGATTCTAATCCTGTACTCACCCTGGATGGTGAGCAGATAGACGTAGTTGAGAAGTTCGTGTATCTGGGTAGCTGCATAAGTGCTGGTGGGGGTGTGAGTGATGAGATCAATGCACGAATAGTGAAAGCCAGAGCGGCTTATGCCAATCTGGGCCACCTTTGGCGCCTTCGTGATGTTAGTCTGGCTGTAAAAGGTCGGATCTACAACGCGTCGGTGAGAGCAGTTTTGCTCTATGCTTGTGAAACCTGGCCTCTCCGAGTTGAGGACGTTAGACGACTCTCTGTGTTCGATCATCGCTGTCTCCGAAGGATTGCTGACATTCAGTGGCAACACCATGTCAGTAATGCAGAGGTTCGGCATCGTGTGTTCGGGCACAGAGATGATAATTCAATTGGTGTCACCATCTTGAAACACCGACTTCGGTGGCTTGGACATGTTCTCCGAATGTCGTCCCAGAGAATTCCACGTCGTGCATTATTTGCCGACTCTGGGACTGGTTGGAAGAAGCGGAGAGGTGGTCAGTGCATGACATGGTGTCGTGGCATGAAAGAAAGCTGCAAAGGACTGGCTTGTGTTGGTCCTTCACGACTCCCTGGTTGGGGTCCGAGAGATGGTGCTACACAGTGGCTAGAGACGTTATCAGATATGGCTCAGAATAGAAGCCAGTGGCGATCCTGCTGTAACCTTCTTTTACTTTCTTCATAAAAAGTGGTTGTGTCTCCCTTACCTGAAAGATTTCTTCCGATTGTACCTTTGCGTTCCCTGATTACTAGCACATTACCTTACACCAATCTCTTCGTTATTGTTCTCTCTTTTTTTGTTGCGCTCCTTAGCTTTTTTTCTTTGTATTCCTCTCGAATTTTCATTGTTTTGTGTGGCGCATATATATTGGCGCTCTCTTGTACCAATATTCATGTGTCCAAATAAATAAATAAATAAAACGTGGATGCGCACTGTCAAAGAGTCCAACAGTAGGACGAAACGGCTGTCCAGTGCTTCCAGGTTTTCCATGGTGGTCTAGCTTCAACTGACTCATGATCTTAACCATTGAAATTACTATAATATCCACAAAACCCATCTGATTTTAACATATTGTTAATTTTAAAAAATACAATGTACTTAAATGATTTTCTGATAAATTTCTATAAGTAAGGAGTCTTATTGAATACTACATTACATGACTTGAAGTATTGATTAAATTCAGAAAGTACTCAGTTAATCATTGGCTTCTCATCAATGTTTACCGTAAACTTAATTAATTTAATGAAAGCAAGAACAATGAACATAGTAGAATGATATAAATCTATGAGTATAGAGTTGTGGAAGTTGTCGAGTTTTATTGAAATCATGAACGGATCAATGTTAGATCTGTTAGCACTGAATGACTACTTCATTCTAGTATGGGACTCCTCAGCAGTCCGCATCCACGACCTCGTATGTTGGAATCGAACTCGATTCAATAATACTCAGAACTCCATAATGATGATTATCGTGAGCTCTTTAGTAACTGAAGGCCCTCAATTCAGTTCCAACGTGAAGAGTAGTAGATGTGTACCACTAAGTAGTCTTATAATACGAATCTATTTAATTTGTGTCTTCTCTTTAGATACATTCAATCTACAAATAATGGTGCTAATTATTTAAAACCTATTACACAAGTACTATTATTAATTGTTGAATATCCATTTCATTAATTCACATACTGACTAGCAAAACGTTGAGCAGATTCATATTAAGGTGACTGTCCATAGTTTAATAGATAAATTCTAACTACCTAAGTACTGTAAAATATGTAGATCAATGATAATCTCTTAGTTTTATTTAATTTTACGGCATGGGAGAAACAGAGCTAATTATATGTTAACACCATGATCATCTCCCATGAAATATTGAGTTCATATTTACTACCATTATGTACTAAATAAATACAGTTTCATCAATGCAAAAACATAACCAATAATTCATGAGATAAAAAAACTGTATATCATTTGTCCTGACAACATATTTTTTATTTATGGTAATTGCTGATATTCTGCTCAAATATTCAATCACCGCTGTGAAGCACCTCAATCATGGAACATAAACATGATAATAAGTTTCAGTTTGTTATTACTAATATTTAGTTAGTAACAAACAAAAAAATGGAAAAATTCTCATCTTACATTTGAAAAGAAACAAAAAGTAAGGTTCATATTCATATTTCTAAGTATTTTCTACAATAATTAAGATTAACTGATTTATTTTACCTTTAATTTACTTAATACTGAATATAAAGTTGATCGTTTAAAAATAAACCAATGCTTACTCAACTTTGTATTTATTCTATTTAGTCAAGTCGGTTACTATTAATCTATTGAAATTGAACTTATCTATCTAAAAGGACATAGTTACAAATTATGAACTGTCTTGGTAACTGCATAGTATCTATATAATTTCAATTGCTCAGTTGGAAAATTCTTTTATTCATTTATTTATCATTCTTATATCATTTTCTTTTCTGAAGCTTAATCATTTTTGTAAGCAATGATGGATAGTGGCTAGCAATGGAATTCAGGAACGCTTGTGAATTAAGGCAATATCGAGGCATACGCACAGTATGCACATATGCCAATAACAGACTGATCAATTTCAGTCTTATAAATAAAAAAATAAAAAAAAATCTCAATGGGAAGATACAAGCCAAACAATACCAAGTGAATTTAATCATTTTTACTTTGTTCATCTATCTAATTTTAAAGTTGTTATAACATGAATTTGACATCTATTGATGAGTTCTAAACGTTGGTTGTCATGTGTTTCAAAGTTGCTGTTGTTATTGTTTTTTTCTAGAATTTTCAAACCAATGAACATGTGAATATTCAGCTACTAGGATATTTCTATAATTTTCCTATGCAGACTGTAGTTATTTTAATAGTTTTTAATAATATAAAACAAAGTCTCGGTATTCTTTTGTGTTCTTTTCTAGATACTATTGTTTCTAGGTTTTAAGCAGCTAAAGAGGATCCAGGTAATAAACAACTTTGTATTATTCTGATACATTTGTTGTTCTTGTATTGGTCAAATTTATCAATAGGCGAACTCGTATGCAAGTGAACTAGTCAAATCGGATTGATATAATCTGTGATGACGTAAACGATGTTGTTAAATTCTTACTTCCGTGACTTCAATTTAAGTAAACTTATGAGAGATTCGAAATTAGGATCGGCAAAATACCCATGAATCGTAATTTTCCATTGCTTCTATCAATGACCTTTGTTCATGATGAGCGCTATTTGCACAAACGTTTTAGCATTTAGTAAGCTTTTTATTCAGAATTCACGTGAAAACCCCGTTATATTTGAGACAAAGCTTGTACACAATCCTGTCCAATTTATGATGTAACATCATAACTGATGGAATATATGTTTAATCATGAGTTACTCAATATGTATCTAAGCGCAACAAACAATATACAGGAGTTTAATTGATGTAGGAAAGCGTAATGGCTTCAAACAAATAAATTTATAATTTAAAATCCATGATATATCTAATTAATTGATCACTGAGTAGCAATCAATGTCATGTGTATATGGTACCTTTTTATGTTGATCGAATTCGACTTATCAAATTACGACTTAGTCAAAATGACTCAAAATCCTGTGTATTATGTTGAGATGTTACATGATTGGATATAGTCGAGAAGGAACTGCAGACTATTTACAACCAGCTAACGAAAATTCGTTCTTTTCAAAATCTACTGATTTGAAATTAGTGTAACCAGAAAAGAGAAGTAATTGACGTGTGACCAATACATTTATTTAATCGATCATCAAATCTCACTCGAACAAATTTCAGACAACAGTATAACTAAGGATTACTACGTTGATTTGCAATTTAAGTATTGAACGTCTTATGTTCATTGATTATCTTAAAGGACTTTTGGCAAGTACATGTAAACGGATAGGCGAAATTGGAGGTCACATGAAATGAGAATATATCCACATTTGATTGTTCCAATGAGCAATTTGTTTGGTGCAGATAGATCAGGTTGGCCGCTGGATACATTCTCTTTATTATGGCTTTTAATCTAAACTCAATTTTCTCATCTATGTGATCAATCCCAAAGTCAAATATTAGGGAAGATGCCTTTTTGTCAAACGTAGTGTACTTTATTTTCTTAGTTTTATCCCTCTTAAAGTTTATTAATTCTTGAGAGAACCATTAACACGTAAACAACCTTTGAATATGATTAATTTCTCCTCAATCTTATGTTTTTTACAATGCGTTCTGTCCAAACCTCATTTGTGCTGTAGTGGACAGAACTTATCTAAAATAAAGTATAGTCAGATATGAGTGTCTTTTAGACAAATAGTTCTTCCTAACTGACCATTTATTCAAGGTTTTTACTCGTATATAGTATATGCATTTTGTGGGTTTCCAAATAACTAATTGGCTCTAGATCGTAGGCGACTAAAGCAAATCTACAAAATAAACTGATTTATAGTATTCCATTAGCCTAGGTTTTTCTTGCTTCAGTCATGATTAACATGTATGTTTCGTAGGTTTACTCAAAGTACTATAAAATTATTGAAAAGCTCTAGAAAATTAGAGTTACCGATAAAACATCTGTCTCCACAAGTAGATGGCAATGACTATTTCGTATGACGAGGTCTATGATCGCTATAATGAAATAGCTCGAGATTTTATTATTTTTTTGTAATCTATGTTTATGACTCAATATACAAGGTTCTAAATTAAGGTTGCGAGAGCTTTGAAAATGAAAGCACTATATTTACACTTTTATCTTAACTCTACGTTTCTTTAAGAATTTGTATTCAGAACCGCAAACTAAATTATGTTCGATAAATCTATGTTCAATAGCAAATACGACACCACTTTGACCAGAACCAACCCTTTATATTTTCGAATTTAATCAGCTGTTGATATTATATAACCATGGTAACTGTCGGCATAACGTTCAACATGGTGAAACATCACTGATCAAAATTCAACCTAGGTTATTACAGAAATTGAAACACTTTTTACATCATCTACTGAACTCAGTAATGAATTTCTCATCAGATGATGGTCAAATTTTCTAACAACAAAAATAGATACAATATAATTATGATTGGAAATTAAATGAATGTAAAAGTGTTCCTTAATTATATTATCCATTAAACTAATCACAAGAACGGCAAAAATAATCTCCTGAAAATAGTGTTTATTTATTTTTTTAAATACATAAACATTGGTCCAAAGAAGCATCAAATATATAAGAGCCACCCAAATCATTCGACTTCTGTGAGAGCTGGAATACTATCGGGGTGCCCAAACTGCAGTAGGTGATTTTCTTAGGGAGCACCTCCTCGAGCCTTTCACCTAGAGGTCTAATGCATATGGTAGTAGAGCAATGTTAGGAGATGCAGTCTCATGGAAGCCGCTATTTGTTTTCTCAGTATCCGGATATTTGCTTTTCGTCTTCTCAATTTCATAAAAAAACAGTAACACTGCGAGAAGAACATTAGTAGAATATCTCTGGGAGTGATTGTATACTCGTGGTAACGTGAGAGCATTTCGAAAGGGGGGGCTGGTCCTTCCCATCCTCAGTCATATCAGGGCATTAAGAGGCCTTGAAAATACAGATATTAATATTTAAACAGACAAGCCGATAAAAGAAACTCTATATTATGATAGGAAGGTGTCATATAAAAATTCCCTTTTCTATATGGAGCTTACCACAGTTATAAACTTTCAGTCTATCAATAAGTTGTTTAAAAGAAAAACAAGAAAAAAACCCTAATTCTTTTTCTTATCACAAAATTGATCACTGACAGTTGGTTTGCATCTTTAATTTTCTGTAAAGATTTTTGCAGAAATAGAGCGACAGTTTATCAACAATAAGTC